AGCAAAGGTAGGAGTCAAAATCCTCACAGTTAATGAGAAATGGGTTCCTAAGCCAGAAAGGAGTAAAAAGAACTGGAAATGAAAACAAATGTCTGTTTGATGTGGCACAAAAGAACATCAGGTGAACAGAACTCTGTTCTGCTCAGAACTCTGTTCTGGAAGGGCAGAGAAAATCAATCTTTGAGTTCTTCTGAAAGAATACAAAAGGGGCAAAACATACATTGTGAATGTTAGGAAAAAAGTTTTTTGTTACCAAAACCCTGCCACGCAAACCCAGTATAATATTACAGGCTTAAGCATGGCAAATTAGCAGCACAATTGTCTACCAGAGTCCCAGTCAAAAACTCTGAAAAACAGGTAACACACAGCCAAATTTAACAACTTACTATTGCATGCTGACTAAATTCCTGCTTGAGACCAGGAATCCAAAATCGACTCATCTGCTTCAGTAATTTGAGGCAAAAAGAAGAATGCAACTTTGGATACGGCACTGTACACGGTTTCTACCTTTTGTTTCAAAGGCATTCGGTACAATTCACTACATTTATGAAAAATAAAAACATTAATTAAACCAGAAAGTACCTTTTTACAATTACACATTCCTGCTAACAAGCACTGGAAATGGAAGAGCAACAACCATGAAGAAAATAATGCTGATGGACACAGAGGGGGATCCCTTCTGATGCGGTGAGGGATTCAAGAAATAAGCCTCAAGGATGAACAATATTTCCTGCCATTTCTAAGCACTTACTAGGCGCTTTCCTACTTATTCTTCAAACCTGGCACTCTTTGTTCTCACCTTTTCCCCACCTTGTTACATTTTCTGGCCTTTAAGCAGTGCAGAACAACTCAACTAGCATGCCATAAAGTAACATCCATTAGTGCTTTCAGAAAGATCCACACTGCATCCCTAGTAACTGCAAAGGACTCAAACTGACAGGGATGCACTTCCCCCGCCATGCTGCGATCAAAGCTTCGGTGTGGATTTTTGCCAATCTCAGATCACACTGGTAACACTTCATATCAATGATTTTCTTCTCGGGCATTTGGTGTGTATGATGCTCCTTAGCAGCTGTATGTTTCCGTAGGTGCCACACAACATTTCTCCCAAATTAAATACCAGAAAAAGTTAAACTTTGATGACAGGTCAGTATACTGACCCTTAGGCAAGAATGAGCTAAAGTCATTTCAGACTCTAGACACCACCTCTGAAAGGCCTCACATACATGACACTTTCAGACTCAACAATGATTTCCATATCCCAATCATAATCCAAGCCAATAAAAGTTTGCATTTTATGGCTTTAAAATGATAAACTGAATCCCAGCTCTGACTAGGGCTGGTCATTGCTATGTTGTCAAGTTGCTTTCTTTTATAAAATCACTCCTATGAACAAAAAAATATAAAGTTTCCAATGTCAGAACTGAATTTCTTTCCTTCCAACATCACACTGAGGAGCTGGGGGCTTTGAACAGACAATCTGATCTTGCTTGCACCTCCATTATGATGTGTATTCACTATTTAAGATACTTGCAATAAGACTACATGCAACCCAGAACAATGATTTAATAGAACACCTCAAACAAAGTATCCTTTCTGTCTTGTGGCTTAATAGAAAACAATTTAAACCAATATACCGGTATAGTATATATATGAAATATACCATTAATACTAGCCCAGATCTAATTAATACACTGGACATCTTGCAATATGCTAAGAAGACTTACGGATAAAGACACAGTTTGTTTTTGCAGGCATTAACCTGAAATACTGCAAGTACTGCACACCAAAGGTATCTGAGCACACAGGTTAAGGGAAGTGCTGAAGCATGAAGATGGCAGCACTACTGATAAGATACATCTGGATTCACACATAATTTCAAGGATTAAGTGTAAATGACACTTCTATGGGTGAAAAGTAAGGAAGAGACAAGCTGTGGGAGAAAGTTCCAGGGAGGAAACAGGAGACAAAGAGAGCAACAATACAGTGGAACTTTTACAGCAATAAGTACATTCTAGTAATTCAAGATTTAGAAGTTCCTTGGTGCAAATACAGAACTATGAAAGGAACTTGCAAGGGCTAGCAAAAAATGAGATATGAAGGTAAGAACTGCTGAAAGAAATACATAATTTATATACTTAGAGGAAAAGAATAATACCGACGTAGCAGCATAAAACTCAGAACTACAATTAATGTTGTTAAGGAAAAAAGTAGAACGAAGCTGCTAAGGATGGACTCGCTGAGGCCATTAAAGAACAAGAGTGGAAAATCAGTGACAGCTGACGCTGATGTATTGCTGACATCCTGAATGGATTTTTTTTTGTCTCACAATCCACAAGAGAACCTGAAGGTCAAGGAAGAAAGCATGAAATAAATCTTCCAGTAGGAAAGTGAAATATGAACATTTCTTAAGATCACGTCAAGGTTAACCATTAGGAAGCCAACATAATTAAAACCTGACAAAGTCACAGGTACGAATGAGCGATATCTCATAGAAAGCTACTCAGAATTGGAGAAAAAAAGAAAAGCTGACAATACTGAGCAGGAGAGGATTACAGTCAGGTTAGCAGCATTTAAAGACTGCTTTCCCTCAACTTAAAATTGGTTGTGGCTCCAATTCTGAAGCAATGTTCTGGTAGGAAGACAAGAACTGGAAAGGAACTAAAGCTGTGGAGCAAATCAAACAGACTTTGATAAAACACTGATTTGCATAAAACACTAATTTGCACAGAAAATTAAAAGAGAAAAGAAAGTAAAAGAGAAAAGTGAAAGGAGAAAAATTTTAAAGAGGAATCATCATCATCTACAGGCCTTCCCCCATCCTTCCACTTCCACAAAGCCCACTAAAGGTAACTAAGCAGTCAAGTGGGCTGTCAGTAGCCATACTGCCACTTGATCCTCCCCTGGGAAATCAGATCTGCACGCTTCTGCACACACAAAGTGAAAAGTCACTCAGGCTACTAGAGAAAGAAAGGAGGAGGCATTCCAGTACATGCAAGACACATGTTAACAGAGGAATGGCGCTTCGAGCATCACAGTAAAGTGTTAGTAAACTCCAGCGAAAGCAAAGGTAGCACAAGATCGCTCAGCTTGAGATGCACTGAAATTCTTCACTGCATTTGCTTCTGTGGAACTTCAAGCTGGGGGGGGAATGCTTTCTACTAACAAAACTCTGAGGAGGGGGAGAAAACAAGTAAGAAAAGCAGCAAAATATTCTGTGGTCTGAGAATGCAATATTTGATTTGATAGAGAAGTGGAGATTATAATAGTTCTGTATCAAGCAGTGAGAATCACTGATGTATACTAGGCAAGGGAAAAAGAAGTGGTCACTGCTTATCAGCTTGTAAACTCAAAAGCCTAGAAATATCGATTAAAAAGTCAGGGGGAACATTAATTTTGAACATAAAAATTTCTCCACAAAAACCTACCACTAAATTCAGACGGCCTAAAAAAGAAGATGAGAGATTTTACGATGAATCAGACATTGATCAGATTTAATAACTGGAGGAGGAAGAATCACTGAATTTTCTTAATAATGTGTTCTTAAAGTTTAACATTCAAATATCAAAATGTAGGTTTCTGTGAAGAAATACTCAGCAGAAGCCTTGATGTTTGCAGTCCAAAGCCACCTCAAATGTACAATTACTTCCTTCTATTTGCTGATTTTGTGTAACTTATCATTCTTCATTTCTGAAGTGCTTTATTAACACTGTGCTTTGCAAATATTTTTAGCCAAAACTGTGCAGCAGCAAACTTCAAGGAAAACAGAAACACATTAAAGTACTTTTACCAATATCTCATGAGGTTTGTCCCACTTTAAGAGGAGCTATCGTGCTGCCTACCATCAATTCTATCAATTCAGTTGAATTCACCATTTTTCTGGAATAAGAATTCATGCAAAACCCTGAAATGGACCAATTTTATATATGCTTTTTTTTGATATTGATCTGTATTTTCTGGTGTTGCACAATTTCTCTGGAAACAACAAAATTAACTACAGATCTTTTCAACCAACTACAACTCAATTGGATTTTTCTTTATTTATATCAAGTGTGAGTGCCCACACTGACTTCTGCCTCACGTAAGTGACTGCTATAAAGGAGCACCTCCAATATTCTTCTCGGAGCTGTCACATGCCCACAGACCACTTGTGTTGCAACCCTCAGTGTGAACTCAGACTGAGAAGTCTCATCTTCTCCCCAGAGTACATGACTTTAGGACCCCACAAGCCTGTCAAACCTCAGCCACAGGACAGCACTGCAAAGGCTAACGACAATGGTTCACCCTTGGGTACAGTCCTACATCACTACACTGCATAAACAATGCCCTTCCATGCCCTTCTGTATCCGGATCAAAGCTGTGCCATGGACCTCCTTATTCTTTCAGATGACAATGGAACTAAGTGACCACGCACAGTGCAGATAATATTAAAAAGCCTGAAAATACCAGCTAGAAAAAAAACGTCTATTTGCACACATAGGTATGTGTATTTGTTGACTCATATTTTATATACAAGCAAAAATGTCTGCATTCTTATATGTGTATATATCATAGAATCAGAATGGTTTCAGTTGGAAGGGATTTTAAAGCTCATCAAGTTCCAACCCCCTGCCATGGGCAGGGACACCTTCCCCTAGATCAGGCTGCACCAAGCATGTCCAACCTGGCCTTGAACACAGCTTCCCTGGGCACCCTGTGACAGTGCCTCAGCACCCTCACAGGGAAGAATTTCTTCTGAACATCTAATCAAAATCTACCCTCTTTCAGTTTAAAGCCATTACCCCTTGTCCTGTCACTATTTGCTCTTGTATATGTATAAACATGTATGTGTGTGGGCATATAAGCACACACACAACATGTAGTAAATGATTACTTTAGGAAAAAATCTATACATATCTTGCACGGTCATTCAAAATTTAGCCCTTTCAAAGTAATACTCATTTCTCAATAAATCTATGAAAATTAAATATAGCTTGTTTAGAGAAGAAAAGAGCTCTTACCTGCTTCACCACTGTGACAGTGCCAGGTGCCATGGTAACTACAGAAGCAACCGCAGTGGTGTCATGGGTTTCTGAACCCAACTCAATGATTTGCTGCAGGATGTTTACAGCTGTTGGATCAAGCCTTTCACCTGATCAGAAAGACAGTAAGCATATGATCATTACAGTAAAACAGCTCTAAGGGTATGTGAATCTAACAGCTGGAGGCAACTCATTCCCCTTCTGCTTTAACTCTGACTCACAGCGCTGTTCATACATTTCAAATAGCTCAGTAATATAATTCAATAACAAATCTATGGCAGGAAAGTAGCCACAAAACAAATTTGCCTGAGGAATGTATGAACAGGAAGTGAAGCCACACTGATCATTTTCATGCCTATTTGAAAGAGATCTGAAAGAATCCATTGGATAAATAATAGATACAACTCACAGCATTAACTGCAAATTAGGAACCTGCAAGAGTTTACAAATCCAAATGTACATATGCCAGACATTCAGCTGAAACAGAAGCTGAACACTACACCTATATAACCACAACAGCTATTTGGTATACTACAAACCTCTGTTTACCATCTGTCTGGCCACCTGCAATACCCTTTAATGTAAAATAATAACTGTGATGGGGATCTGGGTCAGATAATTTCATTTCAAACAGAAAGTACTTCCATTATCTACACAAGAAACAATTTTATCTGAGTACTGAAAACTGCTTGTTTTAGCTTCTTTTGCTATACAAGTGCCTTTAGACAGCATAATATTGGTTTTCATACCTAGAGGCAATATGCTGAAAGAGTATCTGAAGTTGGATGCACTAAAAAGCAACTAATTCTACTCTACAAACTACATATTCATTCTTAAATTCAAAACTTATGTACAGTATATTCCATGATCGTGTGTATTTTAATTTAAATGTATAAATGCTTAAGTAAAGTTCCCAAGAGATTTTTACTCATTCAGATTTCCCAGCCATTAAAATAAAACAATATCCAGAAATTGTCAGTAACTTAATTGCAACACGCTTGGAAATGCCATTAAAAGTAGGAGGTTTTGAAATGTATCTGTATTATAAACTCTGAAGACCACAATGGTAAACAACTGTAAAAAGCTATCTTTTGCTAACCAACACATTTCTTCATATATGTAAACCCAAAATATATTAGCAACTGGTCTAGACTCTGATGTTTTAATACTCTCAGAAACCTGGAATTTTTTCCTCCTCTTCCAGTTTTGTTATTTCCCATTCAGCAGCCATTACCTAATCCCACTCTGATTCTTCCTCAATTTGATATGGAATAGCTTACTCAGCTTTGTGTACCATAAGAATTAAGTTAGTTAGTACTGTCTTGGGAACATGGTAAATGAGCTATTCCACTGTGTCACTTCTGCAGTCTGGCTGACTTAAGCAGGGAGAAAAATAATAGCTAGAGAATTGCCATTAGATACACACCATCTCCACTGCCAAAATAGCTGATTTCACAGTGTATTTAATAATACAGGCAGGAAATTCCACACCCCTAATAACTGAGTGCAAAACAGTGCATAATAAGTATTAATGACTTAAGGATACAGAAATTCATAAAGAATAATCATTTCTCATTATTTATCCCCAAAGAAAAATCCTGAAAGTAAGTTCTGGATGGCAAATTTCATCATTTTTAATTGACAGCAGATCATATGATTGCCCAGTATACTCAAAAGAATAATGTATTCATGAAAAAAAGATAAATTCTGTGTTCCAACCTGAAAAAAAAGGTAACTCACCATTCTCAGAAGTGTATCTAAGGTTCTGTAATGCAGCTACAGCAGCCTGAGTGCCCTGAACATCTTCTCCAGCCTCTGTGATATGGAGATATTGAGTGGATGCTTCTTCAGAAACTTCAGCAGTTAACTTGAAAACAAAACCCAGCCAAGGCATGAATAATCACACTTTCATTTTAGCAGCTCAGTGACAATCAAAGTTCTGAGTTTAAAGGAATGACTTTTGGACAACAAATACTGTAACTAAAGTTATGGAAATACTGAAGACTCTTCATTAGGGACTGTAGTGACAGGACAAGGGGTAATGGGCTCAAACTTAAACAGGGGAAGTTCAGGTTAGATATAAGGAAGAAGTTCTTTCCTGTGAGGATGGTGAGGCACTGGAATGGGTTGCCCAGGGAAGTTGTGAATGCTCCATCCCTGGCAGTGTTCAAGGCCAGGCTGGATGGAGTCTTGGATGACATGGTTTAGCATGAGGTGCCCCTGCCCATGGCAGTAGGGATGGAACTGGATGACCTTAAGGTCATTCCCAACCCTACCTATTCTATGATTCTATAGGTTTCTGTAATTCAAGAGTATTACATGGGAGCTGGGATATCACCCCATAGTTTTCTTCTAGATTCTACTTCAAAAGTTGTTTCAAGTATGATAAGTTATTATGACTTCAATTTTGTTGCACAGTTACTTTAGAACTAACAACTGATTTCTGTTGTATCAGTGTCTAGTAAAGACCTTTTAGGCAAAATTAGTCTGTAACACATGTTCTTGCAGATCTGGTAAAATGCCTGTGAAGTCTGAAAACAGCATTTTGTATCAGAAAAATTATTCTTCCTATAATTGTGTTTTTTTTCAAGACAAGCTGTCAGTATGCATTCCTGCTCTGATGGGACTTCTTTATAGCTGTTTGAGCCATAGAGACGTGCTTGCATCCTGGATGTCCTCTAATTTTTTCAGGTATGAGCATCAACTGAGAGAGTGTATAGAGAACTGTTTGTGAAATTCGTGTGGATACAAGACTTTGAAGAGCTACACTTTAAAATGCTTGAATAACTGACCATGCAGAATCTACTCTTATTTTTCAAGGACTTAATATTCCACCTGTGGATACTCAAAACCTGTTAAACAGGAACTGCGGGATGGCTCCTTTGAAACAGGGGTTAGACTGCCTGAAATTTAGCAGAACAAGTCTTAAAGTGTGGAGGTCAGCCAGCTGCACTTGACTTGTGGCTTCTTCCTCTCACTGGACACCAACAGCCTACTCAGGCAGGGGCAAAGACTACGCTTGCCAACTCTAATTTTTTACATATATGGGTCGACACAGTTCTGTGGTTTCCCCATAGCTTCTGCGTCTATACAGTCAGCTCTGCACTGTAAGACTAACAGTTTTCATTTTAGAACAAACTGCTGTGCACATAACAGCAGAGGAAAGCCTGAAAGGCAAAGCCCTCTCAAGAGCCCCAAAGAAAGAAAATTAAAGTTGTTGGCTTGGTTTTTATTAACCCAGCTTCTTGGGTCTAACTTAAATATTTTAAGGTCTGATCTTTGTGATGCTGTGATTTCCTACATTCTTTGGATTGAAGCTGAAAACACAGTACAAGTGACAGAAGACTCACTATATACTTACTCTGTATAACTAGATTCTAGATTCTAACCTTCTCTGGTCCAAGCCCTAAGCTATTTTCATCAATTCAAACTAAGCTTGCAGCTTTGTGCATCTTGCAGTAAACACCAGGGAATATTTAGCAGGTAACAAAATGCAGTAAGTTTTTAAATTTCACACTTTTTCACTACAACTTTCACCCTTTGTGCTCCAAATAGAGGACTGGATCCCTAAAAGGCAGGAATAAGCACTTACAAGGATGTTAATCGTACCAGTTATTAAAGCAGTCGAGCTTAACATTCATAGAGAAGTATGCATTCAAAATGGAGATGAGAATACATGACCTGATTGCATATAAGGTCAAGAACACTTTCTGGAATACTTCTTATCCTAACTTTTCTCCCTATAGTTATTTAAAATCTTGCGCCAAAGCCATGGCAACTTTGCTTTACCTCCCACTTGGTCTCCCCATCTTGTTCCACTAGCTTCATTCCATGCTTGTTTTTAAGGTGTCTGTTGAACTCCCATTTTGTGCCGTACACAAAGCTGCAGACAGGACACTTAATGCCACCTATAAGGAAACAAATTCCTTGAGTTATTTTCATACAAATTCTTTTCCAAGGCAGTAAGAACCCATTTAATTTGACGCCATCTTAATCAAGCCACACAACTGTAATTTAAAAGGCTTTTCTTTAGCCATATGTCCAACATGAAAAAAGGGGAAGAAATAAAGTAGTTGAACTTCTATAGTGCTTAAAGAGCAATTTTGGATTAATGGTAATGGGAAGAGTCTGGAACAACTCGTATATCTGGGAAGCTACTGCAGTCCTGCTTTCCTGACTGCATGCCTCCCTTTGGTGGATGTTAAGTTGCAGGAATGCTGTTCCAATCTTTCCCCTTCTCTGCATCTCTCCCTGGGGAACCCCAGCCACAGACCAATTAGAAAGAAAGAGCAGGAACAGACAGCTCCCTGCATTAGTCTCAGATACAGCATCACTCCTGCAATATGTCCATGTAAGAAATACTGGTTTCATCTCTCAGGAACTAAACGTTATGGGAGTAGCCAAACTATAACAGAGAGAACATGAACTGCAAAGTAAATATCTCCTGGGTGAGATCTTGTACTTCCTTTGCTGATAAAAGCCATTCTAGAAGTGGCATGTACATTGGAAAGCGAAAAAGTTTTTGGCCACAAAAAACCACTGCAAACGTAGGGGATGCTTCAGTCTGTGCCTAACAGTCGTGTTTCCGGATGAAATTCAACAGCAGCTCTAGTGGAGACTAGTTCAAGTTTCCAAATGAAGTTTCTTTCAAGTCTGAGGGTGTCTGACCTACATTCTGCTTTAGGCCCACCAAAACCAAAGCTTAACACCTGTTTTATATAACTCTGAACTAATGCTTCTGCACTGTAGATACTCTTTTATTTCAGATCATACGGCTCCTTAGAGACTATGTCTACTCCATTACACATCATCACAGCTTCTAAATGTGGATGCATGTATAGTTCAAAAATCTACAAGACTGGGGTCTCTGACAAGCTCCAGCTTTAATTACTGGTACCCTGTTGTCTTGCAAAGCCCTGCTGTGCCAGCCTTTGAGACACAATGCAAAACCAGAGTGTACTCTTTCAGTCAGTGCTGGGATTTCTTTTGAAGTGCTTATAAACACTAAGATCTCAATATTCAACATACACAATAGTGGCATACATGAATCATTTTTAAAACATGTATCTTCTCTAAAACAGCTGTTAGAGTTTTCTCAAGTTTCAAACAAATGGTATTTTTTTGGCACATTATCAAAGCAAACTGGAAGAGTTAACACTGTAATGTCATCTTCACCCAACTGTCTCCGCTTTTGAGAGTTTCTACTGTTTATGTTACTATACAAAATTGTAAACCTAAGTTTTCTATCTGCAAAATGATGCACAGCATGAATTTAGCACAAGGTTTACAGTATGAGTGTACAGGATTACAGACAAAAACCTGAGAATGACAAAATCGTAAGTATCCAATTTTCTACGCTAGATTAAACAGCTTTTACTCTTTTTCCCCTGATGAAAGTCAATTGGTCAAATGTCACATCTCAGCTGCTTGTACTTATGCAAAGAAGTATTGCTCTTCTTCCCCCCTATTGACTAAAGCAGAACAAAAATAATCTGCAGGTGATAAATGGTTGCACTAGGTGATCAGAACTCACCCTAACAGATCTAATGGCTAGGGAAGTGTTATGCCACTTTAGGAACTATGACACCAGATGGCTGACTCCACATTATCATGGCAAATGATGACTCTTACCCATCATGTCCAAATGCCTCAAATATACTCTCATAAGCTGGTTATAAGCCAAGCCCTCACTGCATAGTCTTTTATGGATCAGGTAATTAGAAAAGCATTCTGGTTTACATTAATGGAAACTCACCTTATGGTACTCTACCAGGTGAAAAGAAATAAACTTTTTATTTTGATAAAACCAGAACATAACTACTCCCAGTCACTAGGGTCTTTCACTGTGGATGAGGCGCTTAGTGGTTTAGTGGTGGACTTGGCAGTCCTTGGGTAAATGTTGGACTTGATGACCTTGAAAGTTCTTTTCCAACCTAGCTGATTCTGTGATTATTCTTACAGGATCTCCCCTCCTAGTTCTCAATCTATTATAACTCTTAATCAAACTTCACTATTATAGCAGATGCTCAATACTGCATCTCTAGACAAAACTGAGATAGGTTCCCTATTAAGGGAAACTCAAAAGTTCACAAAAGAAAAATACCCCTCTTCAGACTGGGACAAAGATATTATCAGTTACAGAAAATGAAATTAAATATTCATTTCACACCAATCTGTACTAATGGCAAAAACCTGCTGTTGTGAAAGAGAGGACACATTTCTGCATTACTCTGGTATTGAAACTATAATAACAATACAGCAGAAGAATTAAAGCTGTTCCCTCTTCTATGAATCATTCATTTATTCATAACCTCATTCTAGGAATCTTGAGATGAGTCCAGCTGTCTACACTCATACAAATATTTCCAGTTAAGATTATCTGCAATGCAGTCAAAAACCAGTTGAGAGTAGAGAAGGTGAACAAGTATAAGGCCATTCACTCCAGGCTCAGTGCATAACTTAGAATGAGAATACAATATGAATAGATACAGACAGCTTTTACTAGACATTAATCTTTGTTAGTTTCCTTTTAACATACATGAAGGGCAGCATATACAGTAAATTTGGATTTAATATGGAGCTATAGAACAATGAAAAAGAAAAGCATAAATGCGTGTAAACAAACATAACAATGGCCCCAAGTAGAAGGGGAGAAGAAGATGAACATCATACTCCTCCCAGCTAAGAACTCCAGATGCCAATAACTTACTGAAAACCCCATTCCAATGCTAACATCAGAGGGAAACCACCCTTCTTATGACTGGGAGAAACAGCGGAGGGAAACCACCCTTCTTATGACTGGGAGAAACAGTGGAGGGGCGTCCACAGTACCAGCAGAGGAGTAAAAATTAATGTGTGTGTTACTATTTTAATTGTATTAGTAATACTATTGACTCTTCTCTTGTATACTAGTGCTCTATTTTATTTTTTTTATAATAATAAATAGATCTAGAATAATAGTGATTCTTGAATTTGACTGTTAAGATCTCCATTACACTAATATTTATACAGATAAGGTGTGCTTCCTTTAACCAGAAACAAGATTATCAGCGTTAACAATTTGCAACTTGTTTTACCTGTACTCTCTTCCCTCTCCCCATTTTAGTAGTGCAGAATGATTTGCTGCCATTTACTCTTCAGTCTCTTCCCTCACATTTGCTCAACCTTACCTTGAGTTCAACCTTCCCAAATTGTCTTAGAAATTTATCAGTAGAATGATAGAAATTCATCATTCAACAGATAGTAATACTTACAAAAGGAGACAAACATGTGAAAATGATAAATGTATGCAACAAGGAGTAGTACAGGCAAGGTCAATCACACCACCCTTTAGAAACCAAGAACTGAATGAAGGGTAAAAAGTGGCCATTTCAGTACTAAGAAAAAGTAGCAATGATTTATCACATAACTCCCAATAAACCAAGGAACAAATATCACACAAAAGTTAACTTTACACCAAACTCACTTCAGCAAATAATAAGTCTACTATACAGTAGATATGTACCTTGTTGGATCAGGGCTTCTGCTGCAGGCTCCCCAGAACCTACGTTTACATACTCTTCATTAGGATGCTTTCTGTTGTAATGCCTCTTCAGGGAACCAGATATGTTGCAGGAATAGTGGCAGTGTGCACAACGGAAAGGCTAGGAGCAGAAAGGAAAAATTAGGCCATATTTCTTGTCCTCTTCAGGATACAGGTCTAAAGCTGCAATGTTTCCAGAAACATGTTCATTTCCAGTTTAGACATCTTCCAAGGAGACCTTCCAAAATTAAATATAAATGGAAGTTGTAACTCAATGCTACCTAAAATTTGGTACTTTTTATTACGTGCATGACACTTGAGTATTCTCACCATTATAAGTTTATTATCTACTTTTTGTAATTCAGGAAACTGTGGTTTTGTAATTGATGATCACAGGCCTGACCATGTGAAGCCTTTTCTACTAGAAGGAAGTGACTCAGCTGCCATGAGCTTTGGTCTGAAAAGGGAGGTTAAGAGAGATAAAACAACTGGAGGCACAATATGATTGTGCACCCAACCTAATTCCACAGGTAACGGTACCTGACAGGGTTGATCCCTTTCCTTTTCTTCTCTCTCCAACATGCTTTCAACAGCTCTTCTTTCACTGGCACCCACATTCATCTGATCATTTGGTAAAGTAAGTTTTGGGAACTAAAGGAACTGATTTTTAAGGATATATCTGCCTTCAACTGACATGGGGAGACATTTCTAAGGAAAAAAAGCTTAGGAAAACAAGTGTTTGTGCCTAATGTTAGCCTTTGAGAAGAGCCTTCTGACTGAGAGTCACAGTTACAGGAAGCTTAACACAACCATTAGAGTCCTGGAAAAGACTGTGACATTGACCAAAGTCCTAGGGGAAAAGTCAAGTACCCCTGTATGGGATACAAAATACACAGCAACCAGGCCTGAAGACGGTTCGTACAGAAGTGTTTATTAAGAAGCTGAATTTAAAGAAGAGAAATGTCTGAAGTCAAGGTCTGTTGACCAGAACATTCCCCTAAGCTTATGGCTCACGACCTTCCTTCAGGCTCCAAACAGCAACAATAAGGAAGAAAAGTGGTGTTCAGATCCCCTTAACCTTACATTTAAGAGGGTACTGAAAAATTCAGCTATTCCATTTTTCAGAGAGGGATACTCTCCTTTCTATTGCTGAAACAGTCTTCTTTCCAAGAAAACATTTCTGACAGACTCCTGTGTTACTGTACCACTTTCTACATGTTTGCATGTCCTGTGTGTTACCGGCTAATGGATAGCAGGACTGTAAATTCATGGAACTTGGAAATACCATAGAATGGTTTGGATTGGAAGAGACTTTAAAGATCATACAGTTCCAACCCCTGTCATGGGCAGGGACACCTGCACTAGAGCAGGTTGTTCCAAGCTCCATCCAACCTGTCCTTGAACACTGCCAGGGATGGGGCAGCCACAGCTTCTCTGGGCAACCTGTGCCAGTGCCCCACCACCCTACCCTCACAGGGATGGATTTCTTCCTAATACCTATCTAAATCTTCCTTCTTTCAGTTTAAAGCCATTCCCACTTGTCTTATCCCTACACGCCCTTATAAAAAGCCCCTTTCCAACTTCCTTGCCAGCCCCTTTAGGCACTGGAAGCTGCTCTAAGATCTCCCCAGAGCCTTCTCTTCTCCAGGCTGAACAATCTCAACTTTCTCAGCCTTTTTTCTTGGGAGACAGATTATATTATCATTAGGTCACATAACTACTGACATGACTGAGTTGGATACGTTGCAAACAACTGTCCCAGAAGGAGGCAATGTGTTACTAGCAGTTTTTGAACGCCTTTTGACAAATACTCCCAACTGACCTATTTCAGTGTTTTGCAGTTCTCTTGATAATGCACTGAATAGAACACTTACATGCAGGCTGACAGAGGACTGAAAATAGATGCTGAGTCAACAGTTTTAAATCTAACCCTGAGGTTAGAACCAGCTATATTTAAAGAACTGCATTATGAGTACATTCATCCCGTTAGCCATTAAAAAGAAGAAAGATGTATTTTCATTTCCACAAAATCCTTTTAAAAAGATAAGTCCCCAGCAAAGCCACATACTGAAGACAGGAAAATTATCTGTTCAAAATGTATCCTCTCTTTAGATGACTTGCTTCATTTGCTTTTATGTCTTGCCTTCCAAAATTTAAACCATGAATCAAAAGACTGTCTTGCTTTCTGCCTTATGGAGGTACATAGCATTGGTGCTTATTAAGAATGGCTGAAGTGTACTCCTTATAGAAGCAGAATTATTTGCTAGATAAAGAAAGATGGTGCAAATGAAAATAGTATGATAGTTTCAATAAGAAATATGCTCATAGCCAAGAGAAAATGTTGCATTAAAATGAACATTTTCATATAAAATACTGGATTTTTCTGGAAAAGAAACGTACATTATTTCTATTTCCTCAATATAACATTTCACAATTCATTACATCAAAAACGATCATGCTGAGAAGCAACGTGAAATTTAGGAATAAAATCATACTACAGTTTATTGAAGTAAAACATATCTCTAACCTAAACACTTCACAGAAACATTAACAATCCTTAAAACTCTTTCCAAGACACGTTTCAGATAAATGGGGTGCTTTAGAATTAATTCTCTTCAATTTTCTTCTAGTATATGAACTTATCTCTAGTACAATAGAATGGCAAACCTTCAGAGAAAATTAAGGTGGCAATGAACAGTGATGGATGCAGTTTGCTTTCCTATTTCCCTACGACATTTTAAGGTACATGTTAGATGAGTTGTCTTAAGGACTCACAATCACAAAAATCCAATAATGCTTGATTTATATTGCAACATGTATTTTTGGCAAGTAAAGATACCAGTTACAAATTGTCTAAGGATTAAACAACCCTACGTCAAAAGTCTGAATATAAAGTCAAAATCCCCAAAACACTAAAATGTTAAGATGCACAATTGTCATCAAACGGGAAAATGTGTCAGTTTTAAAACTGTTGTCTGAAGTTCCATGCTTTTCGAAATCACTTATCAATAAGCATGATTTCTATGTTTTCTTACCTTAAAAGAGACATGTTGCTCCATATGACGGAGGAGCTGTGGTTTTTGGGCAGCTGTATAGTCACACACTGTACATTTAAACTGCTTTCCTGAAATGGGAATAGAAAATGGAATACTTTTTTCTACTGAAGGTCAGAAAATGACTGATTATATTTCCTCATATGAACAATATTCAAAAGTCTGACACTTACTCTGCAAAATTTTGGTTAAACAGAGCTAAGAGCAGGGTAAGGAAGAAAAAAGACTTGAATGTCATCTTTAAATTATGAGCATTAAATAGGCTAAATGCTTCTGGGATAGTAACTTGGGAAAGAAAAAGAATTGTTACAGTGCAGCCTAAATGAAAGAAGGAAATCAATTATTTACAACTGGAGGCACAGTTATTTTGCTACCTATAAAGTACATTTGGAAATCCTTAATACACAGGTGCTTGTTTATGTTCACGTGTTTTTACCTATTTCTCTCCCAAGCACTGAACTGTTATGATTCAAATACATTTTCCTTTCAAAGCATTATCTCTCCCAAATAACCTTTTCTTTCCTTATGATTTAAAACAACAGAATTGCCTTCCTTTTATTCTCTGGGGTTCATACTCCCTTTCTCCATTATTTCATCTTTAAGACTCTATTAGCCTGCTACCTCCAGCCAAATAACAAAATGTATTATACAGAGAAAGACTTCATTCTTGCATATTAACTGCTCATAGCTGGTAAAATGTATTGACTTGATATGGAATAAGCATGTATTAAAAACTAATGCAAAAGCAAAAGAAGTAAAATGGAAGATGGAGAAGAACAATACAAAATATTTTGTATTATCCTGAAGAGATCAGATTTCTTCAAGAAGTTACAAGTATTTTATACTAGGTGTGAAAGTTTCCATAAAACAGAGCTAAAAAAAAACCTTAATACAATTTATGACATCAAATTAATATAATGAAACCCAGGCTTTCTGGTTTATTTCTAATCACAAACTAATAAGCCCAAACTATGGAATTGTTTTCTATCATGCTACTCTCAAGAAGTCCGTCTTCTGAAGAAGAATAAAGCAGACAGAAACCTGCTTTACATTCCACTGGTTGAACTGACCTTGCAGGGCTGATATTTGAATAAAAACTGCCTGGATTCATAAGTCAGGAAGACAAGACTCATAAACAGCAAAACATCTTTCAAATTCATTCTTTGTGAAATACCTGAAGAACACTGGATGTGCACTAGCAAGAACTTTTGAAGTGCTGTCACTTTAGAAAGGGACATTGGGCAAAGAGAAACTGTCAGCATTCAAGAGGCTGAAAGTCCCTTGAGAAATCTGACATTACATTCCTGGAGACAAATGTTACCTTATTTTTCACAAGTGTCTGGAATGCATGAAGAGGTTACTGGGGTGGACTTAGAGAGGGAAATTTCTTAAGACTCCACAGATAGTGAGATTCTGTTTCCACCTGAGCCAATGGCAAAATGCATTTCCAAAGGTATGGGGAATTTCCTGGAACACTTTTGGAAGCGTAAAAAGCAAGGCAAAAGAGTGTAAATCTTGGATGTATTTGCATCAGTCAAAGAGGGAGGTGGATCAAAAAGGAATATTCAATCACCTCAGTTAAGGCAAAGGATGATGACAGTCTGAAGCCAGATAAAAAAGGCTCCTGGTAATAACACTGCCTCTAGAGTCATGGTTTCAGCCTGACCTAGCAGTAAATGGTAAGAGAGCATAGTTCCATGCATGCAAATAAATATTTAACTTCATACCTTCAAGCCAAAGCCAGACAAGGCAGCTCCTGCACAACTACAGTGCCAAATTTCAAAGCAGCCTCAGCTGAATTGCAGTAATGGCTTACACACATGTATAAAGTGGAGCTAATTCCCAGGTAAAATAAAATTCAACTTTCATTGCTGAATTTCCCTATTTGGACACACCAGATGGTGAAAACAAAACAGAAAGGTTTTGAAATGAAACCCCATGCAGAGAGGTTTTTAAATAGTCTAATCGTGCTCTGAATGTCCTTTTAATTCAAATGCAATCTGCTTCCTTCTCCCAGCCAGGAATCAGCTGAGGACTGCATTTGATAAGTAAAATCTTGATTCCTTCATATAAAGTTCAGATGTATGGGGCAGCACCTGCTTGATACTGACCAAGCTGTTTCAAAATCTTGGGAAGTACTTCTGGAATAACAAGTGACTAACTCATAGTAATAACACAGTAACTATAGGCTTCCTAAAATACAGAATCATAGAATGGTTTGGGTTGGAAAGGACCTTAAGATCACCCAGTTCCAACGCCCCTGCCATGGGCAGGGACACCTCACACTAGACCATGTCATCCAAGGCTCTGTCCAACCTGAACACTGCCTTGGACTTGCTTGTCCAATCTGAACAGCAATCCTTGAACACTGCCAGGGATGGAGCATTTACCACTTCTCTGGGCAACCCGTTCCAGTGCCTCACCACCCTCACAGTAAAGAACTTCTTCCTTAAATCTAACCTGAACTTCCCCTGTTTAAGTTTAAACCCATTACCCCTTGTCCTATCGCTTCAATCCCTGATGAAGAGTCCTTCTCCAGCATCGTATCAATGCAAAAGGGATCATCTCCTTCAATTATACATGCAGATACAAGCATAAATAACATAAATATCTCTGAAAAAACCTTCACATAGATTCTTAAGTTGCAAGAGAGCATCGTGTGCTTTCTAGGAAAGGATAATACTAATGAATATGCATTTTTAATAAAAATTGTTTAAATGAAATGGTCAATAGAGTGAAATGAGGTTTCACAAGGTTGCATGAGTAACAGCTATCAAGCTACTAAGTCATAATGAAGGTCTGTACAGCTTATCTTGCTATTTTCAATTTGATAATCAGAGGAATAAAATACTGTTCTAGCCCAAATTTTCATACAAAAGATAATATTTTTCTGGATTTGCATCTCACTTCTTTCTGTTATCACAGAAATATTAAGATTACAGAGCAAATTCAGCTGCTGCATGTGTGCACGTAGAGAACACATGCTCAGGCTTGCCACTAGATGATTAGACGCAGAGCTGCACTAGCCTTGCCTCTGTTGGGCTACTGGACTTGCCAACTCCCAACAATACTCTTGCAGAAGAAAGTAGTAAGAGACGTAATTATGCAACTATTTATGCTTTCAAATTTCTATTGAGATCAACAATTGTCTGTAAGAATATAAAAAGATATAAAGCAAACACAAAGTGTCTCAAATACTGCAGAGACAACTGGTTTTCTTTCACAGATACTAATTTTGCAAAGGTTTGAATTATTTCACAGTGTCTCAGAGGGATAAAAAACATCTGTAGGCAGCACTTTGTTCAACTGAAAAATGCTTGTTAGCAAGGCCCTGTAGCACAGCCAGTATTTACTGCCTTGGAATAAACTTGCACTTAATAAACATACACTTACCATCAGCAGTATGAAGGAGTTTATGGCTCTTCAAAGTGCCTTTTGATTTGAACTTTTTCCCACACATATCACAAAGGTGTGTTTTCTCAGTGCTGTGACGATTCATATGGGCTTTCAAGTTACTCTTGCTGCGAGTGGCATACTCACAGAGGGAGCATTTGAAGGGTTTGACACCTACGAATAAAAATACATACTATGATACAAGCAAGCTGAACCTTGTGATGAGAGCAGGGACATGTGAGCAACACAAACAAGGTCCAACTTGTGGAAAACTTGGCTATCTGCATTTAAGAAATCTCACCTACAGCCTCTGCGTAAATGATACCAAGCTCTTGACAGCATTATTTAACTTACTGAAAGGAGGGCTTCTTTCAGAATTAAGTACTTTCCTATTGAAGCCAGGCACTGAGTTTAACTAAGGATATACTAACGCTTTGGTCTTGGTGTGTCCATCCTCCATTTTGAAGTAGAGTCCACTGCCTAAATTGATGCCTAGCTGGTATAGATACCAAATATCCCTCTAAAAGTCTTCAGATAACTATCATAGAGTCATAGAATTGTTTAGGTTGGACGGGACCTTAAAATCATCGAATTCCAACCCCCCTGCCATGGGGCAGGGACACCTCACACTAGACCATGTTGCCCAATGCTCTGTCCAGCCTGGCCTTGAAAACTGCCAGGGATGGAGCATTTATCACTTCTCTGGGCAACCTGTTCCAGTGCCTCACCACCCTCACAGTAAAGAACTTCTTCCTTATATTTAACCTGAACTTCCCCTGTTTAAGTTTTAACCCGTCACCCCTTGTCCTATCACTACAGTCCCTGATGAAGAGTCCCTCTCCAGCATCCTTGTAGGCCTCCTTCAGATACTGGAAAGCTGCCATCCTTCTTCATTTAATAACATAAAGAATGAAGAAAGCTGTTTTAAGAAGGACTGGTTAATGAGGTACTTGTGCAAAGCTGTGTTTTATTGTTAGCTACTATCAGGCTGGCTAATGGCTTACATTGTAGTACTTATTTTTTAATTTATTATTTTTGGCCCCCTTGGTAAGATGCAAGCACTTACAATTTCACTTCTCTCAAACAGTCCAAAGTATGTAACAGAGAGAGACACACAGTATGTCATCTAACAAGTCTACAGGAACAAAGTAAATCCTTCAGAATCTGAATTGGCAGAGTAGTTCAACAGTTTCATGAGGCTCTGGCAGTTTTAGAATGATATTCATGACCTCAGAACTAGATTTACAAGCATGAGGAATTATAACCTACTTTAAGCAGACTTGATTGCACATTTTGATTTGGAAATAAATTTCTATTCACCTCTTTCTCACATTAGTTAGATGGGTTCCGAGCCTTCTTGGCAGAACAAACAAACTGTATCTAAAGGAATACACAAGTAATAGCTCTAAGCCTACAATTTTGTATTACCTAAACTCTTTAGTGGAGTAAAGGCTACTGGAAAAGAAGCACCACTACAGTACATAGACAGGTGAGCTCACAGTTAAAGCACTCAAACAAATATGCAATACTAGAACAAATGTCTGAAGTATCTGCATGGGAACAAACACTTTGGAACCAAAATGCCGGTTTAAGAGTATCAAAACCCATTATCCCCTTTATGCAGAGAGAGGGCTAAAGAAACCAAAATCATGCTCGAACACTATAGTCAATCTGTTCCACAGACTATTAACTGATTAAAGAGCATACAAGTAAGTGGTCTTCCAATTGTTAGAAAAATAGACAGACTGGGTAGACACAAGATTTTACTGGGCATAGATTTTAAGTTCAAGGCATTTTTAACTTGTGTGTTGCCACATTACTGGAATTTCTCCCTAAAAAGTCATAGATATGATCAGCATTATCTTATGGATTTTTCATCACTTTTTATGCCTGTGTCAGCTACTTGCCATGCTCAGCATGATTTACCTAAATTACACACAGAATTTATATGTATACATCAAAGCAACCGGATTTCAGTTGTTTTCCTAATAGGTTTCCAGTCCAAGTATTTTTGGACAAACGCGAAAGCAGCAGTTACCCATGAGAAGATACATAAAATCACTTGCTTGAAGAGACTAAGCATGCATTTAATTCACTCCTCCTTACTCACTTTTATTACACAATACTTTTATAGATGTTTATGAATGAGTTTTTGGGGAAAACTGAATCAGAAACATACTAATTTTATAAAACATTTAAGCTGTCTATTCCTGTTATGAGTGTGCAGCTCCATATGTGATCCAGAATGTATTAAATTATTTAGCCTCCAGTGTAGCGTAAGGATTTTGATTCAGGTATAGCCATAATTTTGAATTCCTTTTTATATCAGCAAAGCTCATGTGGAATGAGACTGATTATATACCTGAAATTTTAAAAGCAGAGTTTTACCTTCATGAGCCCAAATGTGACGTTGAAGGTCTGACCCATTCTTCATAAAATAAAAATCACAGTAGGGACATTTCACAGCTCGCTTTCCAATAAGTCCTTTCAGCTGAACTCTTCTGCCAAGAATCTCAGAAATAGTCGTCATTGAAACCTCTGAGAGAAATATAAAAGGTAATAAAAAACAGAAAGACATGAGAGAATTTGTTCTGTAAGTAATATTGAAGAGCTAGATCCCAATTCACTCCAACTTTTTAAAAGCTCTACTTCCCCTACTGCCACTCAAATAAGACCTGAGCAAAGAACATAAGGACCTTATTTCCTGCAGGGTTTCAAGTCACATCAGCCATAGCTAGAACGGTCAGAAAGTCTGATAATCAGGTATAAACTATAAAGAAAAAAACAGACTCACGGAATAATGTGATTGGAAGGACCTCTAAGGTCACCTCTCCAAGCTGGGCCAACTCTGGAGCTCCAACTTCAAAGTTACATCAAGTTGCTCAGGGTCATATCCAGTCCTGTTCTGAACATATCCAAGGACAGAGTTTCTACAATCTGTCTTGGCCCGTTCCAGTGTTTGATGACCTTTACAGTCAAATTTGTTTTTCTCATTTCTAATAAGAACCTCCTTGCTTCAACTCATTGCCCTTCACTGTAGAATCCCAAGCAGATTCTGACTTTGTCTTGATTCTGGCTCTGTCTTCTTAATGTCCTATTAGATAGCTGAAGGCAGCAATTAAGATTCCTCTTCTCGCCTTTGCTTATTCAGGCTCAACACACTCCACTCTGTAAGTTTTTCCCTCATACGATCTAGTGTTTCGGTTGTCACAGTGAAAAAGCTTAAAATAATGACATTTAAATTAAAGTGTCCCAAATACACATAATGAAAACATTGCCAAATGCTTTTAAAAACTGAATCAAACTAAAAACTAAATCAGTGCATTTCAGATGAATAAAACGCTATCACCTGACTCAAGCAAAGTACAGCACTCGTGCAATCTAAATACTAAGACATAAAAGCTGATGATTTAATATGTCCAAGATCTTGTGAAATTTGAAAGTTACAGTCTAAACTTACACTTTTATCAAATATGATCTGTCATACCCAGTGTCCTGATGATTGATCCCAGAGTGGAATAAAAAATCTTGCCTGAACTCGCATGCACAAGGAAAGCAACCTCAAAAGGGAAACATAAAAGCCCATGAACTGAGCAGAGAAATATTCTAAAAGTACCCAAAGAAAGGAAAATACAGATACAAGTCTGAACCCTCATCAGCCTTCTATGGCTTAGATGCTTCATTCATGAGTGCAGGCTAGCGTGTCTGCTCCGCAGGGATATATCTTGTGTCTCAGACTATTAAGAAGCACCAAATTAAATCAGTGGATGAAAAGATGGAGAATTCTGAGAGCTGCGACCAGAATCCAAGACTCAACTTTCGCTGCTCAGTATCCAAATCATTTGGCAATAAAGCCAAGCTCTCTTATCATCTTGTTTTGAATACTGCTCTACCAAGGTCTACAGAGACTTTTGTCCTACTGCCTTCATGAGATCAGAATTCAACTCCTATTCTCTGCAAACCTAGAAGGATTACTCTTTTATTTCATACTTTCTATTTGATGAAACAGAAGAGACAAGAGAGGGGTCACAGTGAATGATATTAAGGAAAGAGAGGGAGCTCCAGAAATAGCATTTTAATGATAAATATGAGAGGGCTTCACTTTAAATTCATTTTTGGTATGTCATTTTAAAATCCAATTCCTTTTAACAGTATCCATTTTCCCTTTCAAATTTATTATTTTCCATTTAGGTTTTTAAAAACAACTGCACCCATTCCACTGCAGTACTTGTTATTTTCTGTCATCAGATCACTCACATTCATTTGGCTTATAATGAAGTATGCTATCCAAATAAAGGACAGCACACCCAGGAAGAGATTTGTGTATTAATTCTCCTCCATACATTTAAACAGTGTTATTGCATAAGTACTGCATAGGCATATCTTAGATGCAGTATTTCTTTAGTACCTAGAAGATATATCTTATAAATCTGGTACTTTGCTTCCAAGTTCTATTCACCTGCAATATACGAATTAAAAATGAAGGAAGTGATCCTGGCCCTCTACTCTGCTCTCGTGAGACCTCACCTGGAGTACTGTGTGCAGTTCTGGTGTCCTCAATATAAAAAGGACATGGAACTGTTGGAACAAGTCCAGAGAAGGGCCACAAGGATGATCAGGGGACTGGAGCACCTCCCGTATGAAGACGGGCTGAGGAAGTTGGGGCTGTTCAGCCTGGAGAAGAGAAGGCTGCGTGGAGACCTCATAGCAGCCTTCCAGTATCTGAAGGGGGCTGTAAGGATGCTAGGAGGGACTCTTCATTAGGGACTGTAGTGATAGGACAAGGGGTAACGGGTTAAAACTTAAATAGGGGAAGTTCAGATTAGATGTAATGAAGAAGTTCTTTACTTGTAAGGGTGCTGAAGCACTGGAATGTGTTGCTTAGGGAAGCTGTGAATGCTTCACCCCTGGCAGTGTTCAAGGCCAGGTTGGTTGAACAGAACCTTGGGCAACATGGTCTAGTGTGAGATGTCCCTGCCCATGGCACGGGGGTTTCAAAGTAGATGATGTTAAGGTCCTTTCCAACCCTAACTGTTCTATGATTCTAAAAAGAGAACACAAAAATAAGAGGCTGTTCAGGTTTTCTTTTTTTAATCTTTCCTCTATTATAACCCAGAGTTTTACAGAAGCCACTTTCCTGGGTCAAAAAATTTACATTGTACGTTTAAAGGGATTCAGATACCAAAATGCAGGAGTTTAGCATGCCAGGGCTCTAGAGGTAACTGCTATTTCTGGACCCCTCACATAGTGTACACTAATAATTCAGCAGTTAATGGAGGAGTGCTGACCAATGGCAACCTGTAAGGGCACAGTACATAATGTCCTGCTAGTTCACAGATCACATTATTTAGGGAGGCCTCTTAATACTCCCTGGCTGAGACAGCACAAAGGATTTATAGGCACAGCACTTGAGATTCAATTTCTATGCTTAGTGGGTGACACACCTCCTGACTACAGTATAGCACAGAAACCTTTCCTCATCTCAATTTGCTGCATCAGACATGTCCTGATGTATGACAAGCCCTTCAACCACACTGTTGTAACGTAGTCTGCAAATAAAGAGGTTTGGTAACTAAAGAGCTGAAGCGAGACTTACTCTGAAATTGAAGGAAATTGTTTAAAACACGGGTCTAGCACTATCTAGTGGCAGAAGGAAGATAAGAAACTACTGCTTTACCTATTATGTTGTAATTCTGACAAAGACAAGAAAAGTTACATCATTTTAATTGGATTTTTTCTTCCCCAAACTCAAGTTTTGAGCGTGGCTGGTATTTTATTTCTTGATATTATGGCAGGTGATAAGTAACACTGTAGGCAAGTTAATTAAAGAACGTTGGCCAATGCAGTCAACTCTCCTTTACCCACAGTAGCAGGGCCTTTCTATCTGTCCTGGGTTTAGATGGGATAGAGTTAATTTTTTTCCCAGTAGCTGGTGCAGTGATGTGTTTTAGCTTTAGTCTGAGAACAATGTTGGAAATACACAGATATTTCAGCTGTTGATCAGGACTTTTCAGTCTCACGCTCTGCCAGTGAGGAGGGGCACAAGAAGCCAGGAGGAAGCAGAGACAGGACACCTGACCCAAACTAACCAAAGGGGTATTCCATACTGGGCCCAGTATATAAACTTGGGAGAGTCACCCAGAAGGGACTGATAACTGCTTGGGTTGGGCTGGGCATCAGCCAGTGGGTGGTGGTCAATTGTATTATGTATCACTGCTGTTTATTGCTTGTCTTCTTCCCCATTTTAGTTTTGTATCTCTCTACTTGCTATTTCACTTATCATTATTAGTAGTAGTAGTGGCAGGAGTATTATTTTGTACTTTAGTTATTAAACTGTTCTTCTCTCAATCCAGGGGGTTTACATTCTTTTGATTCTCCTCCCCATCCTGCATGGGCAGGGATGAAGGAAGGCTATGACAGAGCAGCTGTGTGGTGCCGAGTTACCAGCTGGGGTTAAACCACAACACTATCCAACATAATACTGAGGAGGAAAGTAGAAACATATCAATGCAGCTCTGCCAAGCTCTCATCAGTCAGATTTAAATCAGTGCCTGCACCAGTCACACTTTGGCACTGAAGTTCCAAGGTTTGAGAAAGGATTGTTTACTCAGGCACAGTATGTTGACTCACTGCACATTTTATGTTGAGCTTGCACTAATAAATCAGGTTCATTCTAGTGATGATTCACTAGAATGAGAGGTATAAACAGAGTCTGAATGGACTGCAATGGTTATCTTGGATCCAGCCAGGCTTGTCAGCTCCAGCTTAATATTGATCATACTACACCCCAGATGGTTCTAGCAAGAGACCTGCTGCAGATTTCAGTTGGCCCTGGAGGTAAAGCCCAGCCACACACCAAATGAGCACAAGCAGCATCAGCTCAGAGACTTCTGCCTTCACACCAATTACCTATGGACACAATAATGTGTAATAAATGCCTTTCTGTCAGTTTATGTATGGCCAATGGGAATTTTATGTCTCGTGGGCTGTTACAGGATGTCTGTCTGCCTAATTCCAAACTACCCAAATACTTAATTTGAATTCACCTAGGTTCTCTTTTGGAAATGACTCCTCTGCCAGATGAAGACAGATTTCTTAGCACAATTACCTGATAGACTCCACATCACACAAGCTGGAACAATGATTTTTTTTTCACTCTAAATTCTAACATCTACAAACCCACTACAATTCTTCTTCTAAACCAGTTAAATTAGATGTAGACTCTTCTCTTCTGTTAGAATATAATCACATTACACTGCTCGCTCTAAACCTTTATCCCTTTATGGCAACAGACTGAGAAATTTTCCTCGATTTTTCCTTACCAGGGTGATTTGTCTTGATGTGAGATTTTATAAGTCGATCTTCAGAAAATGACTTCTCACACACAGGACAGGAATAACTCTTTTTATCCTTAAGCAAGAAAGGAAGAAAGAGATTGCATTCAGTCTACTGCTGTAATCACCATAGTCATTACTCAGTTATACATGGTTCTCAACAAAGCTATAATTGAAGGTTCAGCTTTTAAGGAAAGAAATGAAGATATTTATAGTGAAGTAAGTGAAGGAGAAATATTAAAGTATTCTAAGCACACCATTAATCCCCATGAATGAAGGGCTCCAAGTTACAGCACATGAGAATATTCACAATAAATGTAAGCATTACATCCTGACTGACTCTTTAGAGAATCAAGAGTTGAAAGATGAGGTCATGGAACAGAAGAAAAGGAATTTGATGTAAATAGTAATATTCAGGGGTTTTTGAGGTTTTTCACAAGTCTACCCTTCTGAAACCTAAGGATTAGATCTCACTATTCTGAAGACACCCACCAGTAGGTATATTTAGAAAACGGCCTGAAATTGAGCACAGGAGTTAACAGTGACAGATGCCACTACTCAGTGTCTGCATTTCTAACTACTTCATAAATATTCAGCAGTTTATGTATTGCCAATAAAGTATTATTCTCCTATTTTGATTTCAAAGCCAGCCTGTAAGTTGTCTTTTATCAGTTTCACTGACGTTATGGAAGATTAACACCATCAAACAAGTTCAGCTGGAGAGTTTTGATGCAATTTCTTCCTATATGCAATTTTAGTGTAATTGTAATTTCAATCTTTTTGCGACTGCATTAAACTCCACATAAAAATGTAGCATTTTTCTCAATTAACTGGTTTTTGGAATAGAAGACTCTAGGAATCTACAAGTGCTGACAAAATCTTGTTGGGAAAGAGCTGCTCATTTGTGGAATTAGGGTCTTTCAAATGATACAACTTATTACCTCTGAACCTGTTCCTGCTAATTTCACACTTGTACCTGAACATGTTACTCAAATGAAAATCGGCAGATTAATAAAACCCTATAGCAATGTTTGAGCCTCTTCAAAGGCTGGGTTGCACAATCAGATTCGTAATTTGGCACATGTAAGAAAAACATAAGCACAGCATCATTTAGGGGCTGCTGAGGAGCCACCTGAAATCCAGCAGATCTCACTGTGTCAAACTGTTCCTCAAACTTATAACTGTGTTCAAAATACACAATACATGAAAATTGAAGACCAGCAACACCCAACTGTACATCAGAACTATACTAGTTATTTTCATTTATTTATACTAGTATACTTTTATGCACAGTTGGGCATTGCTGCTCTTTAATACTCACTGTATTAAGTGTTTCTCATTGTGCCCAGAACACTAAGACAAATACACATTGCTGTTTCATAAAGTTAAATTAGAAAAAAAAAAACAAACAACCAACACTCCCCTCCACAAACACTACTTTAAGTTAAATACTGCAATTGTCACAACTCTACATTCTTGCTAATACTTGTCAAGATGGCAAGACTAGAAGCCTGCACCTGAAAGAGCCAAAATCATCAGTAAATGCATCAAAAACTACAGAGTAACATGAAAGCACAGGCAAGAACACACCGTTCTATGTGAGGATGGTAACAAAATTTTTCAATAACAGAATAATTCAAAGACCTTTCTTTAAGCAGCTAGAAAGTCATCACACCAAGTTCCGCAGCAAACAATCTTCAAAAGGGGTGTCTTTTTCAGTGCAACAGATTGCACTTTGGAGCACTAAGTCCCTTCAAAGTGACTGTGTCAAGCGCCAGCCTCTCACCAAAACCATCCAGCTAAAACCAAACCTTTCACAGCTTTTTTGTCCTGGCCAGTCCCACAGACCTTTGGAGCTTACATTGTTAGTTCTGACTGTTTTAAGTGCACTTCTGTCGCTGCACTGAGAGCTTGTGACAGTGCTTGTCCCTCCGTGTAATCCCATCACTCTCAAAAACAGACTTTAAGAAATCCCCTGTTGCAAGCTAAGTATTTCAGAGCATTCAGGTCACAACACAGAGCTCCAGAGAAGGTTTCCACCACCACAGCTCTAGCTCTTCAGAATGTCCTTGTCATACATGATGACAAAGACACTTCGAAGGCCTTACTTAGGCTGAGGTTGTAGTAATATCTTCATCGCATTCTCAGCATGCAAGTTTTCCTCTGGTAAAACTAAGTTATTTATCCTATGCCATTCTGGAGTGCCTGCCTTTTAAATGTCTTTATGGTTGTTTTTTGAGGGACACAAACAGAAGCAAAGTATCGGGAGAGCTGGATCTACCTTTGTTGGGGACCAGCTGCATGGTCCAATCAGCTACTTCAATTTCAAAGTCACTTCCACACTTCCTGAGATTTGCTTAATCCCCCTATTAGCCAATTTGAGAATATCTAAGAAACTTAAAAAAGTTCTAAAATGAAGTGAGCTTTCTAACTTAAAGTACTGTGCATGTTCCGCATCAGGAATGAATTAGGGCCATAAATATTCTTAAACCTAGCAAAAAGATTAATCTAATACTATCACAGAACTTTCTTATTTATGCTAAGTTTCATTCTAAAATAAGGCTGCTTACATATACAGTGATGAGAAGAAAAATGAAAAGCCTCTGTATAGGCAGCATCTAAAGCAACAGACCACTATGGAATTTATTTAACAAATCAAATAGTACTAAATATGACTTACATGCAAAACACCAGAAACATCAGAAGCTATCATATCACACTTATCAGGAATGAGACATTCTGATGACACAAATATCTCTTATGAACATACATAGAACACATATGATCATATATTACAGCATCTACATGGCAATCCTGCTACTAATTTCCAACGAGACTGTGTGACTCCAACTCCAACTCCTGACAGCTTTGTTACCAATTCTGTCAATAATGTAAAATTAAGACCATGGCCACAATAAAAAGTGTTTAGGCCCAAATTGGACAAATACACTGTAGAAATGAACAATCCATTCTCCTCCTTTTGTACAATTTTCTAGAGGACTACAGAGTCAAAGCCTGCTTCCTACATCTATTCGGATCAACAGAAATGTAATTTCTAATGCCTAATGAAACAGAATTAGTTCCCTGAGTTATAATTCCAAAGACTGAGGATGCCCAGAAATCTTCATCATGCCATTAAAATCAGAATTTTCACAGAAGATTGCCAAATTACGCTGATGTCCTATTAAAATGCAACTTGGCTGCAAGGATCTGATGTGCCCAGGAGGTGGCTACACACATGTGTGAAGGAGGCTAGAGAAGAATTTGCTAATGGCTAGACAGACTTATGAAGTCTGGCAAGCAGCAGAAATCACAGCTCACAAAATGACAAGCACCTGCACACTGTACTGCTCAAGCAAGTTTTTTTGTGTGTGAAATAACTACTAGTAAAGATGACTGGCATTCATTATGGAAGCAAGGACCAAGAACAAAAGCCATTTTCCAACTGAATGCCTGATCATTAGATCATAGATTCTGTGGTTAATTCCCTCCCTTTCCAGTACTTTGCATTCTTGACTACACAGTGGCACTGGTCCAGAGTGCAATATCATAGTCAGACCAGTGATGGTCTGAAAATTAACACTTCTCAGGCAGGAAATAAGCAATCACAGCTCGAGTATCTCACTTCCTACTGACAGCTCTAACTATGCTGTTACAGGAAAGGTCAGCAGCATAATGAAATTTCTGAGCATCCTTTCAAGGATAAGAATCATTTACACCGCAAAACGCAGGTGACAGCAGATGTAGGCACCTAATAGCAAGTGGTGGTTCTGGATGTGAACTCTCATTTTATTTAGGAGCTTCTCTTGTAGCATCAATTACATATATAGATTTAACATCATTTCAAAGCTCAGCACACTGAGTACTGTAAAACCCACTGGAGGTTGTAAACAAACTCTGGTACCTGTATCGGCATTCTTTAGTTCCACAGCTGGTCCCTAATGTTACCACTAGCTCATTCATAGAATCATAGAACAGTCAGGGTTGGAAAGGACCTTAAGATCACCTAGTTCCAACCCCCTGCCATAGGCAAGGACACCTCACACTAAACCATGTCGCATAAGTCATCATAAATGGCCCATCCCTTTCCTAGCTATTATGAAACTGAAGTGAGCCACACATGTCACATAAAAGCCAATAATTGTCATAACTGTCATAGACAAGAGGTAGAGATAAAAGGTATGGAAAATCAGGGAATATATGCAAAATTTTGGTTTTGAATCAAGCTGAGCCTCAATTTCCAGACTTCAAAAGTAAAAGTCTTCCCTGTAACAACAATGTGCAGCAAATCCACAGGCAAGATGCAGCACATATAAACTCCTCCTCATCATCGCCCAGGCAATAAATAATCCCCAATTCAGTACAAGACTTACATGGTGCATGGACAGAAAGATGGGTGGCTATACACTCAGTGACAAGGGTGAACAAACAGTAAGTTGATGTTTAATAACCATCATTTATCCTATTCACCAAATAATACAGGGATTCAGGTGAAAAGCAGCCAGCAACAAGGTAACGAAAGATATGCATTCATACAAGACACTGAGATGAGATGTTGGTATCTTCTTTTGATACGTTGATATCTTTTATGCTCCATCCCTGGCAGCATTCAAGGCCAGACTGGATGGGGCTTGGAGCAACCTGGTCTACTGGAAGGTGTCCCTGCCCAGAGCAGGGCAGGGACAGTTGGAACTGAATGATCTTAAGGTCCCTTCAAACCCAAACCAGTCTGTGATTCTATGATTCTGTCTCTAGGGAAGATTTAATTTTAATGTTTATGGATTCTGCAACCTAAAATTAACATTAAAGAAGCTTTCCACATTTAGCTGTGCATAGTTTCTTAAAGTGCTGTACTTTGGAATGATTGGCCCTGTGTACATTAAGCAAATATACCAAGCAGTGGGATCAAAGGCCAATATGAGAACTGCCAAGTTGAGTCACTAAGTTCTAATACATAAATTTTTCAATCTATTTAAATACTCAAATATATCTGACAGTAAGTATCAGTAAGCATCCTTCTGAAAGATCTCACTGTGACACGGGTTTTAATTATGAAACGCATTTTCTCAGTTCTATTTAGTATCATGAAAACAATGCTCCTGGTGGGAGCTGAAGGATACTCATCAAGCTTGAAAAACAGGCACTTACGTAAGGATATGGGATATCCCATCGCAGGGTCTTTGTCCATAAGTAGTCTCAGACATCATTTACACAGATTTTTGCCATCAGATGGACATCATAAACACAATAAATTCAAAAGCAGCCTAAAAGAATGTCTATTATGTGAGCTTTCTGCCCATTTCATAACAAATTCAGATTCTGTTTAAAATATCTACAGAACTCGGGGAAAAAAGGGGAGGAGAAAATGTTCCCTTTTGTGTCAGCTCTTCCATTTTGTCTTTTTAAATCTGCCCTGCAGTTACAAAGGACTAGTACTTAAGAAGAGTAGGAGGGGCAGTGGTCTGTTCTGTTAGAAACACCAACTTCAGCCGTTGGAAATGCTGGCCATGAGCCTACCTGCTGACTGCAGAAGATGACCTGAAACCACTAGGCAACAGCTTTTTTAAGTAGCTGAGCAGAAATCGGCCACATTCTGGGAAAAATTAACATGAATCCTTAATTCAAGCACCACATTTCACTATTAAAAGGAAGTGTAACAACAGTATTTATCACTGTACCTTAAGTGAGTTGTGACGTTGCTTTCTCATGTGATTAGGAAGGATTTGTTGTATGTGGTGCATTCTGTCAAGTGTGTGTAAGATTTATTTACAAGACAATGCCAGCAAAAACCATAATGTTGTGTAAAGAATGAAGAAAGATCCATCTGTGTGAGTATTTCCTTGCTCTTAAAGGACAGAAGAGTGACTGTTGCAATTAAACAACTGGTATTTTCTCTTCTGCTGGAATAAGAATAAAAATATATTCAGGAGAAGGGTAAACTGCCTTTTGCAAGTGTTTTACTGCATAAATTATTAAAATGCCAAATTGCAAGGATGTAGTTCATGCCAATTTTCTGGCAGTATCAGTCAAGAAAGATTAAATACAAATAGCATGCCTGTCAAACACTTTCTGAAATGCTAAACTGTACTTTATTCAACACCAGTACCTTCATGTAAAATACATGAGGTCGTATGTTCCACCTAAGCACTCCAGATGGCCTTCAAGAAATACTCTAGTTAAAAGTAGACTAAATTCATTATGCTGGGAGAGCAGGCACTTGCTGAGCACCCTTTTCTAGAGGTCAATTTGAAACAGGAAGGAACTTACCTATACTCATACCCTGTGAGTGCATGCACACTATAACCCCTCTGGGTACACACAATCCTACAACGTCCCAGATCAGCTATACTTTGCAAGCAGAAAGCATCTTGCCTTTCTGACAGAATCTTAACCTATTTGGGCCATTCATGCAAAACAATAAAACAACAACAGGAACAAGCAAGGCAACGATGATGTAAAGAAAATAACTGTTTTTTTCTTACTCTTGCAAGAAAAGCATATAAGTAATTTCACTTTCTCATTCTGTAGTTTTAAAATATTTCTCATTCTGAATACCATAATAGATTTTTGAAAGTATACTGTGAAAAAATGCAAGCAGGGTTGATGTAGAGAAGATTTTTCCTCAAAAGATTATTCATGAGATAATGCTGGATCAGAGCAAGACCACAAAGCAGTGTATTGCACAAAGAGGCTTGCAGCCAGGCATGCCACCCCTTGTATAGTTTCACATAAAACATGTAACAGGGCACATTGAAGAAGGAGACCTGACCTCTTTTTAACACAATGGCATTCAGAGATGGAAGGCTTCATGAATAAGATAGGAGCCCTTAAAACGTGATCTCTTCATCTTTGTAACAGCAGCAGAAAATGATAGGTGTTCAAAGAGATTGGCTGCAAATAGTTGGAACTATTAGGAAAAAAAATAACTCTTTTCAACTTAAATTTCTTCCTTCTATAGTAATTAAGAGAGGAACATGTTTTTGTTCTACCATTTTATGAAGGAATGAAATTCAGGTCCATGGAATTAAGTGGCGTAACAATACTGAACTCTCTCAAAACTCAAGGAATCTGAGAATACCAGGAAAATCAAAGGGAGAAAATGGATACAGACATAACCTATAGGAAACCACTACAAAATGGACCACTTATCTAGTTGCTGTAACTCAGGTATTCCCTGCACAAAAGAAAGCAAAGACTGCTCAGGTAAGAACCTGTATCTTCAAATATTGCCATGCCATTCCAAACACTGTGATGATGACTCTTGGGACAAAGGTACCATCTTGTTTGTTACTCACCAGTTCTGTGTGAACTTTAAGATGTGCCTGGAGCTTGTATTTATCAGGAGTGGAGTAGTCACAGTGTTCTGTGGGACACTTCAGCAAAATATTACTGTGTTTCTGAATGACGTGACGCTTAAGGCAGTTTTTGGTGATGGAAGAGTAATTGCACTGGGAGCAGTAATATAAATGTTCTCGAGTATGCGTACGAACGTGCATGTCATAATGTACCTGGTACCAGAACAACTTGCCTGAAAATAAAATTAGACATGAAGAAAGTAAATTCTACACAACTGCAATTGAAAATTCTAATACAGAACCAATTTTCTTCCAGGGTAAAACACACTGTTTGAATTTCATCTCTTTTGGTTTACTGAAAAGTTGTCCTAAAGTCACTCTGCTACTGAAAACCTGTTTACAAAAAACACTTTTGACCTGCAACAGCCTAACAAAGGCAACTTTAATACAGATCAATGATCTTTTTCCTAATGAGAAAGTCCTTTAAATCTGTTTTACTCTAGAAAGAATCTGAATGCAACTGTACACCAAAAGAGATTGGCAAAATCTTTTTGTTAGTTCCTCTTGTGTTACTCCTCTAAAAGCCCTTCTGACACAATGGCACCAACAAGTGAACAGCAATTCATCTAATGTGCAACATCATGGTGTTTCAAAAACTTCTTTCAAACTTTGATTCTTCCCCCTTCTCAAGACTAAAGACTACAGGATAAATCCCAAATTGTTTCTTTTCCTGTAAAGACAAAAGTTTTCAGTTAGAATAAATGGGAATGGTGTATTCCTCCCTCTTTCATAAATTCAAGAAACCAAATATGATCAGAACAGTCTTGATCTGATACTATACAACGAAAATTTTCAGTTAAAAACACATGGTTCAAAACAAGTCACAAAAATATAGCAGTACACATGTATCTACTGTACAGAATGACTATTATTACACATAGAATCACAGAATAGTTAGGGTTGGAAAGGACCTTAAGATCAACTAGCTCCAACCCCCCTGCCAGGGGCAGGGACACCTCACACTAGACATCCCCACATACTGTATGAGAAAGAGTCTGAATTTTGTATTAAGCTGATAATGAAATTTAAGCATTAAAACATGGACTGACTAATGCTTATCTCATGTCTAATCTGCTGCGCTTGGCCTCAGTGAAAGTTAAGAGGTGGGAAGAGGCAAGTGGACAGAAGTGATCTAATTCTATCAAATTTCACATCAACACAAAACTGAGCATAACAAAGCACTTCTTTACTATATCCCACTAGTGGGTTTTTGAGGAGATGAGTCATTTCATGCTATTTACACAGCAAGAAGTAAATCTCATTGGACTGCAGAATCCATACTGAACTACAAAACGAATACTGCTGCAAAGGTACACAAATACATCAATCACTAGTAACCAGAGAAGCAAGAAAAAGATGGCTCACTACATAACATTTTAAACCCCCAAACAAACATACGTCTGCTGCTCCTTACCACAATATTCACATTCTAAGTCTCCATAAACCTTCCTTATCCTCTCACACAGCTCTGTGTTCATTTGTCTCTTCTGCAAACTATCCAAGATCTGCATAAAGGCAACAGCTCCACTCCCACTGTCTGGTGTAGCTGCATTAGAAGAGGCTCCCTGTGGACCAACAGCTGCATTCGCTGCTGGTGCTGGCAGAGGGCTTGTGGTTTCTGCTGCGTTTTGAATTGGCACACTGCTTGTTTCTGATTCACTGGAAGGAACAGGCTGATTTCTCTCCTCAGAGTCTGAAAGGTTCTCAGTCACTGCATTATCCTGACTCGGAATTAAACTTTTGTCTTCAGACAGCAAAAGCTGAACTTCTTCACCCTGCTCATTTACTGAGCTGCTGGGATTAACTTCCTCTTCATTTGCAGGAGAGCCTTTTAACTCATCGGGACCAGAAGTACCATTTTTCAGCTGAAAGCAGTCTGATGCTACACAGGATTGAATGTCTGGGACTGCTACATCTGTTGTCTGACACGGTGTCTCTGTTACATTCTTCGCTAAAGGATTTTCGAATGCTAAGGAAATGGTCGTATCAATTTTTGTGTCACCATTAGATTGACCATTATGGTTTACATCCGCAGCTGTTGATTCACCTTTACAGTCAGATGGTTGTGGTGCGTTACCAGCATCGATTCTCATGACAGCCAGCTCATCTGCACTTTGTGCTAGCTGTTCACCAAGGGCTTCTGGCTGGATATCACCTCCTGGCTCAAGCAGGCAGAAGCTCTGATTGATAGAACTGTTAAAAACAGAAGCCTCCTGCAAATCTGCATGCACATCTTTGATGTGAGCACGAAGTCTTACAGAACTGACAAACTTCTTCAGGCACACGGAACACACGTATACAAATGGGTGCTTTCGAACATGAAGCTCAAGGGCTTGGTATTTAGTGGCTCCATGACCACAGAGCTCACAAGCAAAGGGTCTTTCATCACCATGAACAAGCATGTGACGGTCTCGATCGAGTTCATTCTTGAATTTACGTTCACAAATATGGCAATCATAAAGAAGTTGCCTTTTGCCCTCTCGTGTCATTAAGCAAAGCTCATCAAAAACATCTTTCACCTTTTTATCTTGAAGGTCATGTGTTTCCTTGATGTGCTTGATCAAGTTTTTCACATCTGAGTATTTCTTTTTGCAGAAGCGACAATGCTGCTTGATTTTCTTATGAACTCTTTCAATGTGGACTTTGAGGTGGCCTTTGCTGAGACAAGTGAACGAGCAGTAATCGCAGCTAAACTTCTCCCCTGTATGCTTCCGCATGTGAACGTTAAGGTTGGCTTTGATTGCGCTGGCGTAACTGCAGTATGAACATTTGTAAGGTTTTTCATTTGTATGGATCCTCAAATGTGCTTGGAGGGAATGTTTAAATTTGAACACTTTGTTACAGTATTCGCATGTGAAGATCTTCAGCTGAGTTGGACCCAACCTAAAAAAAAAAACAAAACAAACCAGTTATGTTTATAGCACCGAAACTTTGTAATATGTCAAAATTACTCCAAATATCCATAATGGACAGAAATGTTTGTTTTTAAAGGTATTCTCCACAGGCCTTTTAAAACCTACAACTTATGCACAGCCAGGCTGAGAAAGTCGGGGCTGTTCAGCCTGGAAAAGAGAAGCTGCATGGAGACCTCATAGCAGCCTTGCATATCTGAAGGGGATGGGACATCTACAAGGATGCTGGGATGGGACTTTTCATCAGGGATAGCTGTAAGACAAGGGATGGTGGGTTTAAACTTAAACAGGGGAAGCTCAGGTTAGATATAAGGAAGTTCCTTACTGTGAGGGTGCTGAGGCACTGAAACAGGTTGCCCAAAGAAGTGGTAAATCATAGAATCATAGAATAGTTAGGGCTGGAAAGGACCTTAACATCATCTAGTTCCAACCCCCCTGCCATGGGCAGGGATACCTCACACTAAACCATATCCATCCCTGGCAGTGTTCAAGGCCAGTTTAGACAGAGCCTTGGGTAACATGGTATACAGTGAGGCATCCCTGCCCGTGCCAGGAGGGCTGGAACTGGATGATCTTAGGTCCTTTCCAACCCCAACCATTCTATGATTCTGTGATTACTTTTCAGCTGTTCCCTTATTTTAAAGGCTCAGAATTATTTCAGTTTCATGAAAATGGATAGGGAAGCATCTCATTCACATTTTGAATAAACACAAATGTAAATACTTCAGAATTACCTGCTTGATTTCATTGCCTGTTCATACGGGGTTTGCTGAATGGCATATTCTTGATAACCTCTTCGTTGTGAGGGGTCTTGAACTGTTGCCTCTGGAGCTGCAGGTTCACTTTCTTGGGAAGCAGCCTCAACAGGAACAATTTTTGTGGCTCCTAAAAGCAAGAACAAAAAATGCTCATTAAAAATAGCCTATTAAAATGTGTTACCTATAATATACAAGCATAAGCAAAACATTAAACTCTGTAATTGTTAGTGCACCTATTTTGGTTTCTGTTGTTAAATTCATGTGTGTAAAATGATAGACACACCTCCAAAACCCACCAGTATTTATACCACAGATCTGCTTAAATAACAAGCCACAACTGCTGGTTCTAGGGACTGTTCATGGTGCTTGATTTCTGCTATTATGTGATCCTACATCTAAATACTGCCACATTCTAAAAACTGTAACTTTTCAAAATGAAATTTTAATATCTTTGTTTCTGCCCCATATTACATCCTTTAAAACCTCAGACAAGCTGTTTAATCAGTTCCACAAACAAGGCTGAGGAAAAGACACTGTTTAGTCTATTTACAAGTGCACAACTTTTCCCTATACAGATCTTTTACTGCTTGTATTTTGGGGCATACTGTCATCCTTCAGAATAAAAGAATACAAGAATACATTCCATGTGCACTTCTCAATCTCCATTAAAAGCAGAAGGGGCTCTGCTGAATGCAGTAAGATCAGATTCTGTCCCTCAGAGCTCTACAGTTAGTTAAGGCACAAATAAGCATATTTTGAGATGTGACTGAGTGGAGATTATTTACTTGGGTGCTCTTTATTTTCTGAATAGTAGAAGGAAAAAATTAATGTTGGTCATCTGTAGTGAGCACTGAAGATACTGAAAATCCATATCAATATTAATTTACATTGAAAAAAAAACCACTGAGGTATATCAAACCAAGCACCCATTACTGATTGATCACCTCATTTTAAACTTCTCATCTACCCATGTGTTCAATGGGAATGCTATTATCTTCAACAGTTGAGATTACATACATTTGTCTATTTATGACCTTATCCATTCACAGATGACAATTATTTCACACTACTAACAAGTACTATAGAAAAGTCTTCAAAAAAAATTAAATGTTGCTTTCTGATCTTCTAAGTTTTCAGCCTATGTTACCAGAACACTGTAACTTCTATTCTTCCTGTCACTCCCTCTCATAAATGCCAGGTTGTCCAACAGGACTCCATCTATCAAACTGCACTATAGTAGCCCAGTGAGACAGGAGCTTGTCATTACAGTACAGGAGATGCAGTTCAATCAGTGGGTTCAACATAAAGATGATAAAAAAAGACATTAGACACCAGACCAGTATTCCCATATGTCAATATTTTTAAAATGGAAGCAAATTCTTCTATATTTAGAATCACTTTGTTAAAAGAAAATAGATCTTGAACTGCTCTATAAACATGGCTACCTCTTCCAGGCTTCTCATTTCCTAAACGTTAGACAAAGATCCTCATTAAATGCTCTGCACTAAACCTCCTCTGCATCCTTCTGCCTTTCAGCATGTTTGACCATTTCCTGAAAAGACTGAACTGTTTAACAGACTTTTATGCTACCAGGATAGAATATTAATCACCTAAATCAGGTGAAAAATAAAGCTTTAAAAAAGGCAAAAGCAGCTTTTAATATTTTTTATAGGTTAGCTCACCATGAGGTTAAACATTTTAACTTGGACAAAGAAACAGAAACTCAGACAGAATGAAGATTACTATCCTTTTCAACAGAGTGGGACATTAGATTGGCTGAGCCAAATCAATCTGCAGCTCCATGGGAACAGAGCTACCTGCTCAGAAGGGTAAGCTTTAATTTTCCTCACCTTGCTTAATGCCATATTTGCTTTAAATCAGTACAAGGTTAGCTTCTTTTCTCTAGCCCTCTGCTCACCTACATGCTTGTGATGCCAGCACGAGAGTTTGCAAAGATGAAGAGGATCAGAAAAGGGGTCTCTGGCTAAGATCTACACAATGTCTACACAATGATCTAATGGACAGGAATGTGTGGCTGGTGCAGGAGGATCACACTCCCCCTGTGACAACACTCTGTCCTTACTGACCCAGCTACTTTAAAACGGGTAATCCCAATCTTCCTCCTTTCCCCCAAGAGACTCATTTTATCACCACTTTCCCTCTTCCCACCTTTGAAACTCCAGTGGTCCCAACATGAGACATTCCAGTTTGTAAAACTGGCAGTGCAAATACACATGTATTTATTTTACCAGCTTTCTGAAGCAGTTTACTACAAGTGGCAGTGCAAGAAAGAGAAACTGGGAAGGAAGAGACAAGCAGGAAAGCTCCCTTGGCATGAGTGTGAGGTTAAGTCCATTCAGATGTGCTACAAACCCACAACCATCATACTGTGAGCTACAAGAAAGAAGTCAGCTTAAACACAGAAGACTGACCAGCTTAATAGAAACAACTTCTATCAGTTAAACCAAGTCACTCCCAAAGTAGTAAACAAAATTACATTCTTCCACTTCTTCCCTGCTTTCCAAAAACCTCGATGGGAAAAGGAAACAAGTGTTCATAAGTTACAGCACAAGATACAGTAGCAGGGGGATACAGCTGGCCTTTTTATAAATAGAGGTTCTTCAGTGGAGATCAGGGAGAGAAAAACCTGCACAGTGTTGTAGCAGGAATTTGTAGAAGAAAAAAATTGTAACTCCTTTAGAAATTAAAAAATAATTAAATGAATAATTTAAATAATCAAAATATTTTGTGCTATTTCTGTACGTGTATGTACTTCGTATATCCTAATGTCTAAGTGGAGATCAGTCACAAGCTGCATTCCTCAGGGGTCAGTATTTAGTACTGGCACTGCTCAAGAACTTTGCCAGGGACATGGACAGCCGGATTGATGCACCAAGTCTGACACTGACACCAAGCTGCGTGGTGTGGTCAACATGCTGGAGGGAATGGATGACATCCAGAGTGACCTGGACAGGCTGGAGAGATGGACTGATGCCAACCTCATGAACTTCAACATGGCCAAGTACAGTCTTACACTTGGGTCAAGGCAACCCAAGGCACAGCCACAGGTTAGGCAGAGAGGGAATTGAGAGCAACCCTGAGAGGAAGGACTTGGGTGTTGGTCGATGAGAAAATGAGCATGAACCAACTTCAGTGTGTGCTCACAGCCTAGAAAGCCAACTGTATCCTGGGCTGCATCAAAAGGAGCGTGACCAGCAGGATGGACCTTGGAGCAACCTGCTCTAGTGGAAGGTGTCTCTGCGCATGGCACGGGGGTTGGAACTGGATGAGCTTTAATGTTCCTTCCAACACAAACCATTCTCTGATTCTGTATTTGGAGGGACCTAGAGACCTTGAAGAGAGGGAACACTGTCTTCATGAGCATGCATGGCTGGTGTCAGATTAACCGCAGCAGTTTTTCGTAAGCACTGCAATTAGGAATGAACGTGAATAACTACAACTATATGCACATCTAAAAATACTTTATTTTGAATGACAAATACTTTTGTTCATAGTCTATGTTTAATAACCAGCAAGCAAACTCTGCCAAGCATTCAGTCTTCTGTGGTTTTTAAATGAATTTTATTTCCTATGTTTAAATTCTGTGATATTGCCAAAGCTTCTAAAACCAATTAGTTATTAATACTCAATTAGTTTGATTCAGAAGAGATTCCACTTCAAACATTTAAATTGTTTTATGTGATTTCTGTAATACTTTAAAGACTGCAGTGTCACACCACCCCCACAGTGAAGACTTTTTTTCCTCCTATCTAATCTAACTCTCCCCTCTTTCAGTTTCAAGCCATTACCCCTTGTCGTACCCCTGCATGTCCATGTAAAAATTCTTTCTCCAGCTCTCTTGCAGACCCCTTTAGTTACTGGAAGGCTGCAACAGGGTTTCCTTGAAGCCTTTTCATCTCCAGGCTGAACACCACCAAAACTCTCAGTCTGCCTTCATAGAAGAGGTGCTCCAGCCCTCAGATCATCTTCACGGTCATGTTGAACTTCCCATCAATCAACACTCCCAAGTTCTTCTCCACCCAGCCCTTATTTGTGTTTGGGATTTGCCCAACCCAGGTGCAGGACCTTGCATTGGCCTTGTAGAAGTGCATGCTGTTTGCACAGGCCCACTTCTGAAGCCTGTCATGGTTTTTCAACACCTGCACAGAAAAAACCCTGCAACTTTTATTCAGAATGTGTTTAGTCTGACAGTTAATGTAAGCTTTCACATTTCTAAAGCTGTACATCTATTACCTTTCATATGCCTTCCAAGTACACATCACAGTAAAGGAACACAGGGGAAAAAAATAAAGAAAAGAAAAAATAAATCAATGCTCTGGGAAGCTACAAACTAACTGTTGTGTTTGAAGGGATTTTTAAAAGATCAATTCAGTCATAATCTAGTGAACACATGACGTAGTGTCCCAAACCTAAACAGCGTACAGCAGAATTACAGCAACATGTTAATGTACTTCCAAAAGCATCTTTCACTTAAGAAGGAAGACAAACAGTCTGAATATCTCCTCTATACTGTGAATAAAATACAACTGATTCTTGAAGCCTTCTCTGTGTTTCTAATTGACAGAATGCTTATCTGACGTCCTCAAAAGACTTTTACAGGACTGGACACAAAGACAGATGTTTCCATGCATATAATAAATAACATATTTCAGTTGTTTTGAGAGCTGTAAGCAAAGCACATACTCAGGAATATGTTAACAAAATGTATAATGTATAATGTGTTAACAGGAATGTAATAACAAAGAGAACAATAAAGCTACAAAGCTGAAAACAATGCACAGAAGTTTTTGAAAGGGATTCTGCCAGTCAGGTGAGTGAATGGTTTATCTAAAGTGGCAAATGCATGTCTACTGTTAAAATAAATAGTTTGAAATGATTCCAAAATTCTTCGATGAAAAGGCACTATAGGAACTTATGGATGAAGAATCCTTCAATCATGATATAGGAACTTTACTTGATTTTCAAATATATACACACACTTTCTGTCAAACTCTTTGTATGCAGAAATATTAACATTACAAATAGTATACTGTAGATATATACTTTGTTTTCCTTAAAAATTTACATTTAGCATAAATATACACACAAAATCGGGAGCTGTAATAAAGATATTACAGGAGAAAAATACTTTCCTGTTCTTTGATCACTGTTTATTCATTTTCTCCTTTAAAACTATTCACATACTATGTAAGTGATGTTAATGCAGATAAGTACACATAGGCATGACAAATGATGGACCTGGGAAGAAGTGTGATGGTAGTTCCAAAACGCTGTAGCTGTCAGATGCAGAGATTCTGCATCAAGCTAATCAAATAACACTAAATATCTTTCACATAATAATCATCCTGAGCAGTTCAGTCACAGACCAATGACTAACTTTATACAGTGCCAGCACAGACAAAACTTACATTTGATTATATAACAATTCTGATTACCTGGAATAGCTTCATGGGCTGTCAAAACCACACTTATAATAGGATTTTTAGCTCCTGAAACCTGCTCAGTCTCCTTAACTGATGGAGTTTTCTCTGTTTTCTGAGCTCTGGGCCTCTTTGGAGTTTTCTCTCGCTCGTCTTCCTTCCTGTCAAGGTCAACGTCAGAATCATTACCTAAAGAGCAAACATCAGAAAGAATGTAACTATGTACAAAAGAAATCCAGGTAACACAGTCACTAACACTACAAGAAAGAATTAGGAGGAAGTTAATACCATTGTACAAAGAAATACATGGTACCGAAACAAGAGGTGCTGCATGGTTCCCTAAAGGGGAACTTCTTTCACCTCAATTTAAGAAAACAAGTGTGATACTTATGCAAACAGAGAAAATAGGCAAAATAAAGACAAACAACCCAGAATTGCAAAACTGGACTCTCAGAAACATTTGTGTTTCTAAATTATTTTGTTGTTACTGTGGTTTTTTGTAAAAATTCTACAAACTGTGCAGAATTTCTTATGATTTCACCATTAATGAACAAATTATTTTTCCCCTTTCCACATATAATTGTCCTGCTGACTTCAGAATTATTTGTCCTAATACTGGATTCATGACCCATCTTATTTAATGGAAAGTCATCCAACAGTCTCTTTTGATTATGCTTTTTTCCCCCACTATTACCGTGACCCAATAGCCAGAAACATACTTTTCTTTTTCAGTGTTGTTGCAATAATTAAGGTTCAAAACAGTTCTTTGTTCAGCCTAACTCCTGACATGTAGAAGTGCAAGCCTTCAAAACAAAGAGTTACATCATTCCTGTTGCTATTCAAAATCACAGGATCACAGAATGGTTTGGGATGGAAGGGACCATAAAGACCACCCAGTTCCAACCCCATGCTGTGGGCAGCAACACCTTCCACTAAACCAGGTTACTCAAAGCCCCATCCAGCCTGGGCTTGAACACTGCCAGGGACGGGGCATGAATGTCTTCAGCTTCTTAAATGGGATAACATTTGGACATACTAACTAGAAAGCAATGCAATAGTTGTATTTAAAACACTCATCTGAAATAAGAATGAATAATCATAAGTTGTTTCTTGAAGCTAATTCTTCCTTAAAGCAAATGTTTATATATAAAGAATTTGTATAAAGAATAAATACAGAGGGCTGAAAGTTTATACCAACAAATTTCTTTGTATTAGATGAAGTGGTAGAAAATCCAGGCAAGAGAAACCAAACTTGGCAAAGTAAGGCATTATGCAAACGTCCCAGAGGTAATGAGTATGGAAAGCAAAAATTGATGGAAGAAAGTTATAAATGAACCCAGTGAGTTTCTTTTCTTTCTCTCCTCACTTCCTCCCTCCCCTCCCCTGAATCTAAAGCAGGTGACACAATCTCCAAGATAAGTTATTCAATGTATATTCATACTGTGCTGTAGCTGCTTCACTGAGAAACAATATACAAAATAAACCCCAGAAACAGCAAAGCTGGATGTCTAGAGTTGTTTATGACATGTGAATAGCAAGAGCAGGGGAAAGAGATGCTACGTGGAATCAGCTGTGTTTTAATTTCAGTAATGCTTTCTAAATATTCAGCTGAGATTCAAACAAATCTGTCCCGTGTGGCCTTCTCAGTGTTAGGACTGACTACGTAACTACCACCTGAATAAACTGCAAGCTCTGTACTAGATCTAAAACCAGAAGGAAACAAGGTGTGTAGGTCAGGCAGTCATAGGCAGACATGTGCAGTGACAACTCACAGTGACTTGATACTAATCTGTAAATCCGAAATTCATATTTACAATACCTACAATGAGCAACAACCACACACAAACTGAATTCAAACACACTCCGCCAACCAACTTTCTATGGAGTTGAGGTTTTTACCCCAGCTTCCAGTTTCTAGGTTACAGAAAACTACGCTCTGCCTTGAGAGCCCACTGCTCTTCCGTGGTAATGGTTTCCTCAATTTTATTAGATAACTTCTTTGATAGATGCCTCTTCTCAACTATCTTTTTCTCCATAAATTTCTAAGATTTTGGAAAATATTGCTGCTTTATAAAGGGGCTCATTATGTCCCCATTTAACTCCTTAATAATGTTGTAAATTATTGATGTTGAAGCCACATAATTCTAAACCTGACATTTCTCTGCAACACTTCAAAGGGATATTTGAATATAAAGACATATAAAGGCACTGCTTGTGCAGCATTTTCTTTTGGTGTGATGAACAGGGGTGGGAGGAAACAAACACAATTTTCCACATTTCCTTCATGAAACAGCCTCTGTCAGCTTATTATCAACAATAAAATGAATTTCACAGCAGGACCAGGCCATCAACAGAAGAAACAAGTCTCATAAAGAATCAGAATACAAAGAGAACATAAAGCTGCTTATTAAATTGTGTTTCCCTCAGGCTGCAACACATACTGTTAAACAACAAAGATTAATCGGGCTAATTACTCTGCTTTTTGTTTAGTGGACAGTGACAGCTAGTAATAGTATGGGGGGAGGAAGGGGGAGAAGATTTGATATACCTGTGGACAAGACTTAAAGTCATTTTTTGTATGTTTTAGATAAAAGAAATCCAATACTATAGATTGAAAAGAAAGCTGCGATGAGGACAACAGAATATTCTCTATTTGGCTTGGGATCACATATTAAATTTCTAGTAGGCATATGAATAGAACCCAAGCCCTCTAGTCTTAAATCCCTTTCAAATCATTAAAAAGTAAGAGTCAGTTTAATGAGGAAATAAAGTGGTTGAAAACAAATGACAAAACCATTATATTGCCTTTTCATGCTTTTCATGTTAACCTGTAACTCTATTAACTTCTCAATATTGGAATTCTACTAAGAACAGAAAAGAAAGAAAAGGACAAACGATTCTGTCAGTGATCCACACTAATGCATAACTACTACCACAGTAATAAGCTAACAAATGTTTCATGCTGGTTTTCTTTCCTAATGTGCCTCTATCAGGCAGATCAGTTTGCTAATTCCTTCAGTTCAACCTAAGGTAAAAGCTTTGGAAAAAAAACATGTTACAATAAATAGATTTGATTGATTCTCTGCTTTCAAAACATGACACCACAAATGCTATTTAAAATAACATACAAAATTGCAATATAACAGTATTTCTTTACTGAAGTGTTGCTATTTTATATGCACAGTAATCTTGTGCACAGGTGCCAAGTGCTATATATTAAGATGATGGTCATGTGAAAATACTTGAAGAAACCCAAAGCTGGTGAGTACTTCAAACAAAGGACTGAATCTCAACTTCCATCATCTCAGTCTGAGCTGAGAACATCCAGCAAGTAACAGGAATACTGCACTCAGTATCTGCAAAGATGAGAGGAAGGTATTGAGTGCAATGCAAAGTCCCTTAACACAGAAAAGCCCACACAGATGTTGATCAAAACCAGGCAAGTGATAAAATACAACCAATTTGCTGATCATACATCTTCAACTAGTGTTGAATATGTTTGTGTATAAACATCCTCAAAACTTTTTATATGAAAAAAACCCTGATTGTCTCCTCACTATTTGGGGTTAAAACTAGATAGAATCATAGAACAGTTAGGGTTAGAAAGGACCTTAAGTTCATCTAGTTCCAACCCCCCTGCCATGGGCAGGGACACCTCTCTCTAAACCACGTCACCCAAGGTTCTGTCCATCCTGGCCTTGAACACCACCAGGGATGGAGCATTCACGGCTTCCCTGGGCAACCCATTCCAGTGCCTCACCACCCTTACAGTAAAGAACTTCTTCCTTATATTCAATCTAAACTTCTCCTGTTTAAGTTTGAACCCGTTACCCGCTGCCCTATCACTACAGTCCCTAATGAGGAGTCCCTCCCCAGCATCCTTACAGGCCACCTTCAGATACTGGAAGGCTTCTACTAGGTCTCCACGCAGCCTTCTCTTCTCCAGGCTGAACAGCCCCAAGTTTCTCAGCCTGTCTTCATACGGGAGGTGCTCCAATCCTCTGATCATCCCTGTGTCCCTCCTCTGGACTTGTTCCAACAGCTCCATGTCCTTTTTATGTTGAGGACACCAGAACTGTACACAATACTCCTAGTGAGGTCTCACAAGATAAGACAATGAAATATTCTTTAAGGTCCCTTCCAACCCCAACCATTCTATGATACTATTCTGTGGAGTGGTCAAGTCCAGTTATGATATTTAAACATTAGAATTTATTCACTAATCTGATGCATGTTGATGGCAGCGGCTCCATTCTCCCCCTTTCTGAGAGCAACAAGCATCTTCCAGAAACAATCTGTTGATAAGAGGCTGGGGCTGCACACATTACCGGTACCTTTTACTTCAAACCCAACTATTTCATAGTGTGTGTAACCTGATCAACAAAAGCTCTCTATGAAATCACCAGACCAGAAAAAAAAACAACATCTTAACTCTCAGTAATAGCTGCTTTCTTCCTGAACTCTATACACCAAAACCCGCTGAACTATATAGTGTGCTTTAGGAAAGGGTTAATAGGGAGACAAAAGCATGTTTTAATGAAAAAAGAGTTACAGTTTTGACCACAAGGGCTCAAACTGCCTTTCCATAATATGGGACCATCCCATCAGTAATTTAGCTGTCTTACAGGAAAAAAAAAAACTACTTAAGTGTTAGCACTGTGGATTAGAGTATCAAAACAAGCACGCCTCTTATAACTAGAACAACCCACCTCTATAGTACAATTCCTGTTGTATCATAAAGGAAAACCCATAACTGATTTTTAAGATGATTTATGAGCAAATAGAATATATGCAACTTAGAATAGCTATGCCAAGTCTCTCAAAGCAGTAAGAGTCTTTGCTTAGTCCTAAACAGATTTATTTAGACAAACTGCCTCACTTTGCATCTCCCTCCCCAAGAAGTCAGCTGGCACTTTGATTCAGCAGATGATTAAACTGACCTCCTCTATCTAGCAACAGGCATTTTAAATGGCTGCTCCTGCTTGTGCAAGAAATACAACACTGTGCCTGCATCTTCTAACACGTTTAAGGAACGGTCGTGTCAGTGTTGATGAGTAAAGCTACTGTCAGCTCCGAATTAATCACTGCTTTCAGAGTCCTGTCGAACTAGATCTGTCCCATGATTCTATTTGTGCCACTAACTGAAGGTACTGCTCTCTGCATTAGTAATTGGATGTAGGACATCTAGCAGGCACAGCTACACATCCTTAACTGGCATGTTTTTAAACTATGCTTCATACAAACCACTATTTTTTTTATCCCCTAAAAGATGCTGGTATTTCACAGTAGCAAGGGAACAGCTTGGGGAAAAAAAAAACAAAAAGAAAACTGGCCATACAAAATGAACACATGCAATTGCTTCTCCTGCAGAGATTGACATGATACTTGCAGGAAAAAAAAATAAAAAAAATCACTTAAATCAGAATCCAGCTGATGGCAAAACCATGTTAAACTAAGGCCAAACGTGCTATCTTTAAGAATGGTGCAGGCTCTAATTCAGCAGGAATGAGTGGTTCACTCCAAGAATCTGTCCACTACTGTAATCTGTCTTCCATCCAAATCACATTCCCCATCCATCAAACATCCTCTCTTATATCTACCAGAGATACAGCTCATGCTGCAGTGTGGGAGAGAGATGGCAGTTAAAATGACTACCTGTTGTCTATGCCTCAAAACAAGCAAGCTTAGAGGCAGCTGCTGGGGAACTGACCCAACCCAGATACAGCCAAACTCCTCAAACCCATCCCATCCCAGTGGTGGAGGCTGAAGCAGCTCCACTTCCTGGCTGGGAGCAGCCACAGTGAAGAAATATCAGGTTTCCCAAGCCACAAGATAGAAAAACCTCTCTGGGATCATCCTTCTTCACCTATGTGTGATAGTTAGCAATGCAGCCCTTACTACTTCTCATTGCAAAACTCTAATCCTTTGTGAGAGACAGAACAGTTGCTTATGGGGAAGCAGCATTTCAGGAAGTTTAAGACAATCATTAGTATAATAAACATGTCTACCTTGTCTGGCTTTACTCTCAGTTTTGCTTCAGTGTGCTTTTTGTGTTCAAAAAACTGACAATTCCATTCCATTTGAAATTAACAATGGGGATTACGAGTCATTACCAATCAGGTCACAAGATGGAAACACAATTTCACAACATGCTTCAGACATTTTTGTTGGATATTTTCTTACCTCCATCTCCTTCTTCCTCTCCTTCACTTAAACCAATAATGCAGATATGTTTCCTCAGCTGACGTGTGTTGGAGAACTTCCGATTGCATTTCCTACATTCTAAGCTTCCTGGTGAGATTTCAGACAGTTCTGTTCCTTCTTCTGTCCCAGGCAGAGTTTCTTCACTTGGAACAGGGTTATTTTCTGCCACATCTTCATCCACACAAAACTTCTTAGTAGAGCCTTTTGGTCTCCCTCTTTTCCTCTTCGCTACAAGAAGCTCTAGAAAAAGAGATTTAAAAAGAAACTGTAATTAAATTCCATGGCTTATCAGGCAATATCAATCTGATCTGTGAAAAACAGGAATAGTACATTAAGTTTGACAGCCTCTATCCATAAAGCTTAAAGAAAGTAGCTTCAGACAAACTTATCTGAAAACAGTGGTATTTGCTGGCATTTCTGCTAGCTGCAAAGTTTGAGTTACTGAGATTGGCAGATATCAAAGTGTCAGTTTTACAGGAATTTCACTGCAAGCACTCTTTTGCGTTGTTCTATAACTGTATCAGCATGCATATTCCACAAAGTTGATCTGCTCTGTTCTGACACTCAACAAAAAGCCTTTTCAATTTAAAGCACTCTCAAAGAAATGGCTCAAGTATTACATGTATTCATAGAAAACACATGTCAATGTATACCTTTGTTTAAAAAAACAAAAGCTCATTGTCCTTTTAAAAGAAAACTGAACAATATTTCCTATGGTTCTTTATTAACACTTCCTAGTCAAAATTTGGAATAAAAAAATTTTGGCAACAAATGAATTCCAGAGTCATGCAAAAAAATGTTTCCTTGGTGAGTATTTCAAGTTATTAAATCTGAAGTCATTCAAAATTCTTAATAAATACAATAGAATTTCTCATTTTTCCCCTCAGTGACATGGTTTCACGGTCATCTTGGCAGTCCTGGGGATGATCTTAAAGGTCTTTTCCAACCTAGTTGATTGTATGATTTCCATATTTCTGTAGAGAAAATACTGGTAACATCAATAAGATGTAGTGAACATAGAAATGCATGGCAACATAAAATACTTTGCACTATTTCCTGATGATGATTTCTCTCATTGCTGCTGTTGTTACTTCAGAAGCCACCTTGCTATCACCCACTCACAGGTGTAACTGTTGACTTCACTGACCAAATCAACTAGATCCCAAGGAAACTTTTAACTAACAAAAGCAGATAGTCAGAGGGAAAGGGGGAAATTTCCAGATAGTGACCAAGTTATCTTAGGAGATTTCTAGGTTACTTCTATTGAATAGTTTAATACAATGACAAGAATCAGTCTCTATCAGTTTCTTTCTTGTTAATCGTGGGGGTTGCTTGCTTGTTTTTTACTTCCTTATACTGTGTTTCTTGAAGAATTAACTGATTGTTATTGTACAGGTTTTGGTTATTTACTTTAATCTTCCTCTTCTGAAAGAAACTGTCTGTTCAAACAGCAAAGCCTGGTAGCATTTAAATAGGTTTTCTGAAGTCTTAGCAGACATCTGGTGAAGTATCACATCTACTGCATTTAGAAGGAAAATTACTGTGCATTGAAGGCCATGGTTTAGTGGTGGACTTGGCAGTGCTGGGTAAACAGCTGGACTCAATGACCTTAAAGGTCTTTTTCAACCTACACGATTCTGATTCTGTGAAAAGAGCTTGCCTGATGTTGTATGGAGAAACAGGACAGTCAGGCTTCCTCCGGGATTTTAGCATTCTTTTTATCTCACGTTAGACAGTTGAGCTCTTAAATTAGTTAACATTTGTCTTCTATAGTGAAGAAACAGAGAAACTACTCCTCAGAGTGCGGTTCAGTCCACATAAGGCCTGGATTGTCTCTGGATCCCAGGGTGACCAAGATCCCAGTTAAAGAGCTTTCACTTATGTGCAGTGACTTCCAGCTTTCAGAAAGAAAAAGAGCTTGATACCGTCGTTGTAATTGCCAAAAAACCCTGTAGCATAACGTGCATTATATGTGCTGAGTGAAACACAGGAGGTGTGAAGCTCCTGTCAGCCATCACCTTTTAAAATCAGAGACAGGCACTTACAAAAGTTTTGTGAAGAACTCTGTTTGTAAGGCTCAGAAGTAAAACAAGCAAACTTAAATTTTTGGCATGTTTCAGCTTAAGGCAGTCACAGCAAAGGAGTCCCTTAAAGCTGTTCTTCTACACCAAAATATTTCCAAATCTTGAGATTTGTGCAAAAATGGAAAATAAAATTATTCTCCACAGAATTTCATCCTTTTACTGTTGGTTTGAGGGCTTTTTTGTTTGGATTTGGTGGCACATTTTTTGTTGTTGCTTTTCACAGATGGGCTAAATATGAAATATGTCTTCCAGGTTACAAGAGAGAAATGCCCAGTAATTAAGCAACTGTTGCAGTTCTAAAAGCTTGAAAGTATCCCGCGATTATTCAAGCTAAGAAAGACTGGTCTATGCCACACATAAATTGTACCTCCTACAATAAACTTAAATTTATTCTCCTCCTATACCAGGAACCTTCACCAGTGTATATCAAGAATAAAGATTAAGAACTATATAGTTTTTTTATTGAGTATTCATCAAGCCAATAGCCTACCTTCTGCCTGATAAATGGAGACTGACAATGTAAAAGTCTGAAAAATCATGAGAGAACATTAAATAAAATACAACCCCCAAATAATTTTCAAGTATATGTGCCAAGAGACCTTACTAAATTGGCTGAATTAGAGCATATGGAAAAATGAATGACCTCAAAGAATCTTAAGGGAAGATGATGCAATAGAACAGGAGGTGGTGGCAGCATCTTATTAAAAATCTGTTCAACATTTCCCTTACATATATGAGGCAAAGAAATAACCACATACAGAGAGCACAGCTTTGAGTTAATCATGTAATTAATATCAAATGAAAAAGAAAGCATTCTGTCTTGTCATAGGAGTGATTGAGTACCTGCCTGCTTAAATACAGCATCACAGAATCATAAATGGTTTGGATTGGAAGGGACATTAAAGCTCACTCAGTTCCAATCCCCTGTCACAGGCAGGGACACCTTCCATTACACCAGGTTGCTCCAAGCCCTGTTCAACCTGGCCTTGAACACCGTCAGGGACGGGACAGCCACAGCTTCTCTGGGCACCCTATGCCAGTGCCTCAGCACCCTCGCAGGAAAGAATTTCTTCCTAATGCTTAATCTAAATCTACCCTTCTGATAACACCAAAAGCCTCATTATCAGCAGGAGAAAAAGCAACCCTTTCATATAAGTTTTGCAACCCTCCCTCGCAGTGTTCTGCGTTTCTGTGCTACTGGACTCCAGTGCAAGTACTTTTGTCAATTATCAGCCGAGAGGGGTGATTTCTATGACTGTAACTGTCTTCAAGGTTTCATAATCAATAAAGCATGCATCCCATAATGCAGATACAGCCTGAAACAATTACTGATCCATCAAGGAATAATATTACGAATAGATGATGCTAGGGCCCCTAATGTCGTCCCTCAAATCATTACCAATCTGACAAAGCAAAAGAAAACAGAGTTCTGACCAGCACTTTGAAGAAGATAGAGATCACTGTGAACAGTTACGAGAGAAAACCCCTAAGCACAAGTGAGCATGAGTGACTGCAGTTGACAAGTAAATAAATACCTGTCATTTTCCAAAGATGTCACACTCCAGTGCTGGACACAATGCGACCTAAGCATAATTTGTATGATGGCAACATCTGCCTAATACCCTTGGTTCTACTTGACAGCAAAATGCAAATACCACCCTATCAAAACAGTTAGAACAAACGATCTGAATAGATCATGACCTAACTATGGGAAAGTGGCATGACTAAATAAAATTCAGCAGAGAGCTCTGCCAATAAAACAATATTAGAGTAATAACCACATATTACTTGCCTAACATTCTACTTGTTCACAGGACTTATAAAATCATCAATTTATTACTCAGGCATAACAAAGAGCTCCATTAACAACTCAGTGTTCACTTGTTTATACCAATTCTAGAGGAGCTACAGTGTTTACCAATATTTGGAAGAGAAACTGTGCTTTCAAAGGATAAGATGTTCACCTATCAGTCAATGAGTACTAAAAGGGAGTTTCTAAGACTGTCATTTATCAGTCACTTCTACTTTTAGAGACAAGACTGAATTACTACAAAAAGGGTCCACTGAGAAAAAATTTATAATATACATTTTAGAAGTTTTATCACTGCAGATTCCATAACAGGAGGGAAAAAATGCCTTGGAAGAACTCCCCAGATTCCTTATTTTTCTAAACAGAACACAGGAAATAATTGAACAGCACTTCAGAGCAAACTACCCTCTTCTCTGAGCAATCCGTGTGATGGGAAAGAAGAGATATTAAATGTATTTCTAGAAAACAAGTTGAAAACTGTCTGAAAGTGATTTACCTTGACATTCTTACTGATAGCAGACGGCACAGAGTTGGGCTACGTAATCTGAAAAAGGTGGCACCATATGATCATATAAGATGATGAAAAGTATTCACCAAGAATAATGGAAAAGGTAATTTATGAATGTGTAGCTTAACAGATGAATGTTGTACTTTACATAATTATATTTGCAAAGTTCTTAACAGCTGCATATGTCTAATTTCTGCTGCTTCATATCACAACAGGAATTACATACTATTCTCATAAATGTACATAAATGTAACAACTTACCATACAGAAAGCGCAGATAGCCCCTGACACGAATGCAGATAGACCTTTACAGAAAAGCCTTTCTACTAAAAGGAGTGAGAATAAGCTACAAAGTACTAGTCTTGCTGTACTCAGAAACACGATTTAGTGAAGGGATAACAGGAAACAAAGATTTCAGAAAGGAAGATGCATGTTGCATGTCTGGAAAATTCATTCTGTACAATTAAAATAAAATCAGAATGGTATTTTGAAACTTGATGCAGATCTGATATCTATTCATCGTCTTCTGATGCACTGCTAATTTTTAGGCATTGTATAAAAGAGTAATCGGCTGCAGTTTTTCCTCACCAACCATCTGAAGAGATAGCAGCTATAGTTGAATACTATATGACTATTATTAGAAATATCTTCTTATGTTGAGGAAGTTAATATAACTGCTGAATTAATGCTGGCAAATAAATGAAGAAATATCACATGCTTATGTTAATGATAAAAAAAAAAATCTATTAAGTATTAGAGTGGGTTATATTCATGAGCCCACAGTTTTTAAAATCCAGAAAACATAATGATTAGAATATCATAGTAGTTTTATTAAGGAAGAGGTTTGCCAGCAAGATAAATCCATTGCTCAGCAAGGGCCTAAAAGAAGATATAATCACAAATTCCGATTCATTTTCAAACTATTTCTAATATTACAAGGGATTGCAATTAAAATCAGTTAAAAACGGAATTAATGCAGTTTCTTCCACTGCAGAGTAAAACTGTTCTGTGTAACTAATTTGACCTTTGACTACCAGATTGCTTTACTCACCAGCGCCAATGTCAAAGCACAGTTATAAATTACAAATCATATCACTCTTTTTTGGAATAGAAGTATTATTTGAATCACAACAAACAAGTTAGATCACTCAAAAAGCACACCACCCTTCCTAAGCCTCATAACACGTCCCCATCCATGGTGGCCTGGTTGCTTTCCACTGCTATTACACAGCTCAGATTAAAGCTGTTGGAAGTAGACTTTGCCATACCTGACATTTAAAATTAATGGCCCAATGTCATCATCCCCTATCACATCTGTCCTATGACCCATTTCGAATAGAATAAAACTAAGGGTGGCAGTTGTTTTATTAAAAAACTGAATGACTTTAAAAATTACATTCCTCTCAATGTATCAACATACCTTCTCCATCTTTGTTGATGTTTGTGGGTACTGTTAGTGGTTGGAGAGGAATAATGATGTCATCCACACTGGTACCTTCTTCTGTATGCTTCTCGGAGACATGAGACAGCAGTTCAGATTGATTTGGTGAAAATAAGTTACAAAGCTTACACATGAAGATGGAATTGATCCCTGAAAAACAAGTTTAAAATGAGCAGTTAATGACTTGTTTATATTACCCGTAGTTGTTGAGGTTTTGGTTCAGCTAACACAGTAACCATCAGTTAACACACTCCACAGACAGTAATGAGCTGAAACAAAGAATGTTGCACTGTTAAACGAAGACATTCATAATAAATCCCCAATTAATTCAGTTAAGAAATGGTTAAACTCCTATGCACATCCTCACAGGGAGGACAGTTCTTCTGGCTTAAATCTTGGATATTTTCTAACAAGGTTCAACAGGAAGCAGGACAGAAAAACCCTTTTTCCCTTCCAGCCTCAGACAACATTACAGTTTCATATTTCTTTCAAATACAGGGTGAAATTCTGTAAGACACCAAGTCCTCATCCAGGTTCGTTGTGTATAACATCAGTACAAATGCAAAACACATTACTGTTTACAAAGCAGCTCTGAAATACAATTGGGCTCCAAACCCTTATTTCTGTTCACAGGCCTCACTGTTCTTTCCTACATGTACTTCACCTTTCTACTTACTTCATATAAGCAAGTCTAATTTCTCTGATAACTGTGTAAATGCTATAAACAAAAGGAAGAACTAAATACTGTAAAACATAAAAGGAAACTTTGTTCACTATAACAACATTTGTTAGAAAATAAACAGATCTGATAAAACCTGGATGTTTTGATGTATCATTTTTACCTTCGCATGTTACCATGAGCGTAGGCTGTGAGTTACAAATGTTAAGTGCATGGTTTCAGGGGTCATTATCCTTAGATGTGGCTCTGCCACTAAGGAAAGGGTGGGAAGGAAGCTTAAAATATCTGCACTGCTGTAGACCACAAACTGTTGCATCACACCATAGTCACAGCTGTGCAATCACAGTCTTCCTTTCTTCCTCTGGCCATTCATTTCAAGAGTTCTACAAACAAAGTTTTCTCTCCTTTTATCCCAGTATTTGCAAAACAATATCAGATCTCATCTTGACCCATCTACACGGAGAAAAATGGGCAGGAATAAGAGGAAAACTTAGGAAGGGGGAAAAAAAGTTTTGCTCTTAAAATTGCATTAGCCTCAGAAGCAATATTAACGTTAATCATCTAGTATTTCCTATGCTGTGACAAACAAGTTCTGGGAAAAAATTCCCATTGATTCAAAGAAAACCCAAACAAACTAAAAACCTTCAAAGTAGCAGCAAATTAATAATTCCATGAAAACTTTCCTTGGTCGATGCTTTAAACAGAAACTTTACAGAACTTTTTAGTCAAAACTTCATGGTTTTTTGGGGGGGTTTTCTTTTAATTCACAGGTTCTAGAAGTGTGATTTGAAAGCCACAGAAAGTAGGTAGCAATAAAGAAGGGTTAATATAAAGTCAACAGCTCAGAAAAACCCAGCTAAAAATAGTTAATTCAGAGACTTTGTTTGCTTCCTAAAACTGCTGTCATTTGTTTTAATGGTTTGATTTTTCAGCAGTTAGCGGCTCCTTTCAGTGTCTGATGACACCTAACAATAGCCAGGAACCAATTTTAACAGCCCACTTCTTTAGCAACAGACCTAACCTCCTCACCCAGAGACTGGTTTCAACTGCTCCTCTCCCTCAGTGACCCTAAGGAAAATTAGGGACAGCAAATTGGAAAAGAAAAATGCTATCTAAATTACAAACCAAACCACAGATTAGCCGGATAGGTAGAAAACTAAAGTGCTATTTCGTGAATTTGGGGGTGAATCTGGGGGGAAGAGAATAGGAAAGCTGTATTTTGGGATCTATTTTCAAAACAGCCCCAAGTAAAGATCACAACTCCTATTCAACATCACTTCCCTCCCTTCATGACACAATTATATGGTTCACCCCACTCAGAAAAATCCATCTTTAAGGCATTCTAAATGTTAAGAACAGCAAAGCTAACTCTCTTATATTTATTTGCACCTAACAAGACACCTAACCTAACAGTTGCACCTATAACCAAAGCATCCTTATCTTTGAAATAATACAATTACCGCAGAAGGCAAGGTGTATCTTCATCTCTTTGAAGACGAATCTGCGAAACAACACAAACACCTGATCCTGTTGTTTGAAGCGCTCTGTATTACACACACAGGCAGCTCTGTAACGATAACAGACTTGACATGTTCTTAGGAGCTCGGTAGGGTTCCTTGTCAGGCATTCTGCTGTCTTGAGCACGCACATTTCTATTTTGATTGCAGTATGTTTACAATGGAAAAGTTCCTTTGAACTAGTTCAGCTCTAGTCAGCATTCTTTTATTTAAGAGGAGTAAGAAAAGTGTATGAAGCCTGTTTCTGATGCAGTAGATAACTGTTCGCACTAAATGCAAATGCACATTTAAAATTCACACTACAAAACCTATAAGCATTTACTTAAAGGTTTAACTAACACTGAACATGGATATTCCATTATCTGGATGACACTTCTGGTTTGAGGTTTTATTTGCCAACGTTTCTGCTTCCTGATCTGCTGGTTGTTTTCCCTAAAAATTCAGTCTCAATGTTTTGTGTTTCCTGTCCCCTCCTTGAACAGCTATAATCAGTACTCACAGACCACTTTCCTTCTTACTCCTCCCACTGAGGACTTGGGCAGAATCATAGAACAGCTAGGGTTGGAAAGGACCTTAAGATCATCTAGTTCCAACCCTCTGCCATGGGCAGGGGCACTCCACACCAGACCATGTTGCCCAAGGCTCTGTGAAACCTGGCCCTGAACACCCCCAGGGATGGAGCATTTAACACTTCACTGGGCAGCCTGTTCCAGTGCCTCACCACCCTTACAGTAAAGAATTTCTTCCTTAGATCTAACCTGAACTTCCCCTGCTTAAGTTTAAACCCATTATACCTTGTCCTATTGCTACAGTCCCTGACAAAGAGTCATTCTCTGGCACCCCTTCAGATATTGCAAGAATTCCCAGAAGTCTGTGGTTGTTTAAAGTGCCTGATTACACAAACCCATCAAAAAGAAGTAAAGCTGGAACAAAACCTTCACTGTTAGCGAAGGTGCAGAAAGCATCAAGAGAACATACAGAAAATCCATATGCTTTGCTCAGAGGAGGGATGGAAACAAAACCTGAGTAAAGAAATTATTTTAGGAAGAATGGCTGGAAAAGGAGGTCAGATCATAGAATGGTTTGGGTTAGAAAGAACCTTAGGATCATCCAGTTCCAACCCCTCTGCCATGGGCAGGGACAACTTCCACTATACCATATTGCCCAAGGCTCTGTCCAACCTGGCAGATAGCAGAGGATAAACCCTGCTGATCACAGGCCTAAACAACTAGATTAGGAGTAAGCAAACAGTAATTGATTAACCAGTTGCTGATTAGGTAGTGCAGCAATAGAGTAATGAATTATAGTCAATTAAGTGTAAAAATCAAATAAGCAATAAGTTAATTAGCTATGCAGAGAATCAATGATTAATTAATGAATAATTAATGATGTGGGAAATCAACAGAGCAATTAATTAGACAGTAATTAAATATGCAGAGAAAGAAAGGCACAGTAATCAAGTGTGCAGGTAAACAAACAACAGGAATTACAGCCAAACCCAAATGGGAACATTCCCTTCACTAAGCACACTTTGTGTTAATCCATTATCTTCACTTTGCCCATGTAAACTGTGCTAAAGGTACACTGAAACAAATAACACCAGTGGTTTTCTTCTTACATGGAAAAGAGAAATGTTAAACTATGTGAAGTTATTTTGTTTTCATTTTTCCAAAGATCCCAGCATATTTCTCAGTCTTTTTTTCTTTACACAGAGCATGAACACAGCAAAGGGAAATCAACAAATGGATTACTAAAAAACAAATAGAAAGTTGCAGACTAGGAAGCAGGTTCCTTCATTTCCAGACCCCTTCACAAAGTATAAAAATTACCTATGCTGTTTGGATTTAAAGTTGGATTGGGGAGGAAAGAAAGGAGGAGAAAGAAGCACATATTTTAGAAAAATCACTGAAATTAACACTATTCACGGTAATCAGGTAATGTATTATTGACACTGTGCACTCACAGCACAAAAAATGCACCTACACCCAGAAAGACAACCATATCCTGGGCTTCGTCTAAACAAGTATGACCAGCAGGTTGAAAGAGGTGATCCTGCCCCTCTGCTCTCAGGAGACCTCACTTGGAGTATTGTGTGCAGTTCTGGTGTCCTCAACATAAAAAGGACATGGAACTGTTGGAACAAGCTCAGAGAAGGGCCACGAGGATGATCAGGGGACTGGAGCACCTCCCGTATGAAGACAGGCTGAGGAAGTTGGGGCTGTTCAGCCTGGAGAAGAGAAGGCTGTGTGGAGACCTCATAGCAGCCTTCCAGTATCTGAAGGGGGCCTATAAGGATGCTGGAGAGGGACTCTTCATTAGGGACTGTAGTGATAACACAAGGGGTAACGGGTTCAAACTTCAACAGGTGAAGTTCAGACTGGATATAAGGAAGAAGTTCTTTACTGTGAGGGTGGTGAGGCACTGGAATGGGTTGCCCAAGGAAGTTGTGAATGCTCTATCCCTGGCAATGTTCAAGGCCAGGTTGTACAGAACCTTGGGTGACATGGTCTAGCGTGAGGTGCCCCTGCCATTGGCAGGAGGTTGGAACTTGATGATGTTAAGGTCCTTTCCAATCCAAACCATTCTATGATTCTATGACATATGTACTTTGAACCATTGTATGGCAAAAACTAGTCCAGATTTAAATAAATATTTTCACAGGAAACACAGCAAGGAAACATTTTTTCATTCCTGTGCAATGTATGACTGTGGTTTTAATGCCCTTGAGCATTGAGCACTGCTTCAGTATTTCAGTAAAATGGAAGTAACTGTCAGGTGCACTTTTCTATCTTACAAAAAAGGATCTTTAAATGAATCAAGTTTTGATTACATCTACTTGAGGCTCAGAAGGCTATATTTAGCCATGAATTTATTCCTTAAACCTCTTCCTCGACCTTATGGCATTTTAGTTATTTTAATGAAGATGTCAATATAAACTAATTTCATTTCTCTTC